GGCCGGGCCCCCCCCCCCCCCCCCGCGGGGGGGGGGGGGGGGGGGGGGGGGGGGGGCCCCCCCCCCCCCCCCCGCCCCCCCCTCGCGCCTCCCCTCGCGCGGCCCGGCGGTGGCACGATGCTCTGGCTATCCATTGTATTGTCATCTATCTTTTGTTAAAATAAGAAAAAAAAGGAACGTGTGGGATTCGAACCCGGCTTCCTGTAAACTTAAGTCATGTGGTGTTGTCCCGAAATGGTTTAGTTTTACACTAAAAACATGTGACCTGTATGTGGCCTTGTATTGGCATATGGCTATTTAATGTAATTGGTTAAATTTTTAGCTTAAACCTGGTGCATAAGCCACTTTTTTCTTTAATCTTTTTATTTTTTTTATTAAAAGTTTTATTTTTTTATCGGTTTATTAAAAATTTTATTTTTTATTATAAATACGTATTATTTAAAATTTTTAAATTAAAATTAATTTAACATTAATTATATAATTAAAACTTTAATTTTATATTTTAATTTATTATAATATTTAAAACTTATAATTAAAAAATATTAATAAATGTATAAATAAATTGTTTAATTAAAAAATATTTTTAATTTAATTTAATATAATAACTTTTTTAAAAGTTAAATATAAAGTTTAAAATACATATAAATAAAATAAAAAAGTTATATAAAACGCGTTTTATTTAATAATATTAATTATTAAAAGTTTTATATAATAATATAATAAATTAATTAATTTTATAAAAAATTTATTAAACGTGCGTTAAAATGTAGTTAATTAATTGTTAAATTAATTAAATTATATGTAATTACGTTATAATAAAAAAAAAAAAAAAAAAAAGTTATTAATGTTAAATGTAATTACGTAAAAATAGTCACGTGGCAACACGTGATTATTTTTTACACAAAAAGTAATTTTTTTTAAATAACATTTACACACATAATTTATCATTATTGTAATAACAATTATCGTAATAACTTTATTTCGTATTATGTTTTACTTTTTTATTAAATGTACACCGTTACTTTACTTTATCATTTAACATTAATTAAAAGTTAAATTTATATATAACGTAAAAAACACTTTTAAAAGTTAAAATTATTTAAATACTTTTTATAAACGTTTACGTTAAAAATAAAAAAAATATAATATTATTAACGTATAATACCGTATAATATTATATAATATTATATAATATTATATAATTAATAAATTATACGTATAATTAAAAAACGGACTTTTTTTATTTAACATATTAATATTAAATTAAAATAATGTTAATAATAAAATATCGTGTTTAAAATTATTTTACGTTAAATTTTAATAAATTATTTTAATTAATTTTTTTAAATTAATTAAATGTAAAATTATTTATAAATTATATTTTAATTTAAATTATTAATTTTTAAAATTAAAATAAATGTTATTATAATTGTAAAAATTTACGTGGTTAAAGTTAAAAATTTTTTATATATTAATTATATAATTATTCAATTATAAAATGCGTATTATACGCATTTAACGCATTATACGTATAATATCGCATAATTGATTAATTATGCGCATAAAACCCATCCCTAGCTTGCGCGAACGGGTAACGCAGCTAGTTTCTCCTTATAACTAGATGGACCCAAACCGATATGGGAAACACAGCAGCGAAGTCGGTTAACCTAGACGAAGCGCTTGTCACTGTAAAGGACTCTTGTGACGGTACCTTCAAGGTGATTAATGAGGCTACTAGAGAATCGGGTGGCAAGTTGTGGACTTATGAGGGAAAGCGAAAAGCTTGGTAAACTATGACAACACTGAGAACATGACATTCTAAAAGAGTCTCTTAGAACAGCATGAGACCTCGGAACCAGACTTCTCGCATTTGGATAATACAATTAGAAATTAAACTCTCATTACCCAGCACCTTGCACTTAATATCATTTACTTTTAAATTTTGAAAATATTTGATATTTTACCCAAGAAACTCACTGAAACTAGAGTATTGACATTGGGCACCGGCACTTAACAGGTATTTAAGACTTACAAAGTTCTGTTTCAATCTAACTAATCTTTAGCGGCTACTCGGCCGAGGTGCTAGACTACCTGAGGTAAGGGAGCTTTAATCACGTAAGTTTCATCCCAAGCCAAGATTAGCAATAATAATATTATATAGTTATAAGAAAGATAGTTTATTACGAAATACGCATGCGATACCCCACCCCTTTACGTCCCCTCTTAGGAAGCTTTTCCGATCACGGCCTAAGTTAGTTCTAACGACAGCGCGTAAAACCCCCGTATACGGTCGGTTTATCATCAATCGGCTAGTTTAGGGCGTGCCAAGCCAGTCAAAGTAAACTACATGCTATGTAGTTTGTGTGCTTTAAAGATGCGGATGACATGAACTTTCCTCATTACGTATAAGAGAGAGAGAGATGTATATATAGCAGACCAAAATACCGAACAAACTCAATCATAATAACTACATACACGCCTAGAAAAGCTCATATATATAAATATTTTAGATACCAAACAAACAATGGACCGCCAAGAGTTGGCTCTGGTTGAAGACCCAAGCTCGGAATTAATTGAATTTGGCCATTTAGGAGAGGACCAAGAGAGAACACCAGCTCATACCTACCCAGAACCGGATCGCGGCAAACATGCGTGGCTTTTTCTTTGGGTTGGCTGTTTTCTGATGATCGCGCTGACATGGGGATTTCCTTTCTCATACGGCGTCTTCCAGAGTTACTTGTCCTCTCACCCGCCCTTTTCTGACCATCCCGAGGGATTGCCTGCAGTTGGTACCACTGCGCTGGTACGTGGACACTCCATCCGCAGGAACAACTCAACTCCAATTCGTCTCTCTCTGCAAACTCCTAACGTTGATCCTTAGGGAATCCTATACTTGACGTCGCCTCTGTCTTTTATCATCCTGCAGCGATATCAAGCATACAGGCGGCCGGCCCTCGTTGCTGGATCGGCTGTCACGTGTCTCGCTATACTTGCGTCCGCGTTTGCTTCCGAGGTTTGGCATTTACTTCTGACGCAGGGCATCTTGTACGGACTCGGAGCTAGCGTTGTGAATACGGTGACGATACAGTTCCTGAACGAGTGGTTTATCGAGCGCAAAGGCCTCGCCTTTGGAATCCAGGAGAGTGGCGCGGGCATGGGTGGGATCATCGTTCCGTATGTTGACGCGTGATATTCATTCATATTCTACAGCTAACGACGTGCGCAGCGTGCTGATGACATGGGGCCTCGAGAAGTACGGACACCGGGCTATGTTGATTGCTTGGTTCATCGCCGTCACTACGCTATCTATCCCATCAATTTACTTCCTTCGGCCGCGAGTCAAGCCACCACGTATCCCTGTGTCTTCTGGGTTCGGAACTTTGGGATTCATTATTACGCCGATATTCGCTATACTTCAAGCCGGTAATATTTTCCAGGCCCTCGGGAACTTCTTGCCTGGTATTCACCTGCCGTGTATGTGTACTACACTGTTCATTGTTCTTCGTAGCTATTCTCGACTTTAGTGAGCTAATGTAAAGCGTAGCATTCGCCCAGCGCTTTGGCGCATCACCATTGGATGCGGCTGGCATGCTGTCGCTCTACAACGCTGCCACGGTTATCGGTGCCATTGGCACAGGATACTTAGTTGACCGTTACCACGTCTCCATATCGCTACTCATTCTGTCTCTAGGTGCCGCCATTACCGTCTTCTTCGCCTGGGGGTTCGCAGCTAACTTTGGGGCTCTGTGCGCCTTTGCTTTCTTCTATGGCGTTTTCGCTGGCGGCTGGAGCTCAACGTGGGTCGGCATAGGTCTTGAGATACAGAAGCGAGCTCCCCGTGCCGATTTAGGCGTATTGTGGGGATTTGCCGCCGCGGCGAGAGGTGTTGGTAGCATTGTAAGCGGGCCTATAAGTGAGGTGCTGATAGCTAATGGTACAGATAAAACGCTCTGGTGGCCACGGAGTTATGGGACGAGCTATGGTATATTGATTCTATTTAATGGGATAATGCTAACACTGGGCGGCGTTGGTTGCGCAGCTCGAGCATACGAGATCTTTAAGAGGATAGGCCATCGACACAATGAATAGGTAGTATTTTATACCGGTACCAGATTATCGTATTAAGCTAGGTGGCGGAATAAATTAGAGCACGGCGGTTGGTTCTATGGACAAAATACTTCATCTCAGACAAGTGTTCGATTCTGCTGAGCCCCTAATCCTCAATAATGTCGAGGGGTAAGAAACGACAATTAGCTTAACCATACTTTATAGAGATAGTATCATACATGGCTTGATTGAGACCTCTGGTACTTATTAAGATCCTCATCGATTTCCCCCCAGAAATCACAAGTAGCATAATCAACCACACCAACATCCATTGCATCACTGAGTACTACACCTTTGCTTTCGTGCGATGTCCAGGCAGGCCAAATACTCTTGTCACCCGGTATCCCTATCTGTGCCATGTTTGTCCACGCGCGACTCATCTCATGGGCCAATGTTTGCTCTGCTTTCGAGAAGGTGCAATTCCCGTTAGGGGGTGGCATCGAACTGGTAAAGTTAAACACGAATGGGATCTCACTCGTGTGCGTTGCCCCCAGGTAAGGTATCCAATCCGCCTCTATCGGGGCATACCAGGCGCAACTAGGCTCGTGAGCGAATCGGTAGCTCCATACAGGAATTCCTTTCTTGTATGCCAGTTGTAGAGCCCGGTATGATGGACACTGGTATGATACCTGGGTAAGAATAACCTCCATAGCGGTAAGTGTTGAACCGTTAAAGGTAGAGGCTAATGGAAACGTCTCATTTACTCGTGTCGCTAGTGGTCCAAAGTTTAGGGTTAGGAAATCATCATAGTCCGATAGGCTAGGAACTTTTCCCTTCCAGGTTGTGAGGTAGGAAGATAAGACGAATATAGAGCCCTCCCTAGTAGTGGCTCCTACTATTGAAGGGACCCTAACTCCGATAGTTGATGGTTGCTCTTTGATTACCTTTCCATCGATCACGGGGGTCCAAGAGGACCTTGTGCCATTATTGACGAGGGCTGTGTTAACGGTTATTATGCTAGTGCTTGGCATCGCGGACACTGCTGCTTGGACTCTATCGACATGGGCGCTTCGAAGACATGATAACTAAGTACTGATAAGTATGCCGAATAAATTAATAGAGATTGGAGCCTGACACATACGTCATGTTGCGTGCAGTTCATCGCGTAAAGGAACTCTGAATACCATATTCTCGTGTCGGCTACTGTTGGTAGAACTCTCCCAGCTCCAGATTCTAAAGCAGCAGCTCTCATTAATCGGTGTGCTTCGGGTAACGTAGCAAGAACGAAAGAGTCAATAGCGCCGGCAGATTGTCCAAAGAGTAGGACCTTTTTCTAAAGCAGAATTGTTATTAACCTTGATTACTCTGTGATGCATAGGTAGGTAGGTATTCTTCAACGTGACGAGGGTATAGACCTACCGGATCACCGCCAAACCCTACGATGTTCTCCTGCACCCAGCGTAGGCCAAGAAGTTGATCCATGATGCCATAGTTTCCGGTGAGGCCAAGATCCGACAGCGCCCAGAATCCCAAAGGACCGACGCGGTAGTTGATAGAGACGACAATGGAGTCCGCAGCAGAGAAACAGCCATTATATGTCGGATCTGAAATCCCACCGCCTTGATTTCTTCCTCCGTATAGCCATACCTTCACGGGAAGTTTTGACTCGGGAGTAGCAGAGGCCGGAGCCCAGACATCCAGGAAAAGACTATGTATATTTTACGCGAGTTAGTGAAGAGCCACTCAAATTTATATGTATATACAACCGCGCAGAGCTACCAACCAGTCTTCGCTCGTCGCAGTCCTCTCATCGAACGATCCCAAGAACTGAATGCATGCTGGTGCCGGTGTCGTGGCGTTGATCACGCCGCGCGAATTATTGTAGGGCTCTGGAGGTGCAAAGCGTAGTTCGCCCAGAGGCGGTTTCGCGTACGGAATCGAGTAGAAGTAGTTTACGTCGGTTGAGCTGCACTGACCGCCATGGACTATTCCGCTGCTTGTCTTCACTCCATTAATAAGCCCAGCCAAGCTAAAGAAGGTTAGGCCACCTAAAGGATTGCCTCTAAAGAACATTCTGAGACTGAATACGGAATAGATCTATCTTGGTTGAGCCGCATTGAAAGTCTGGCCTTCCACAGTAGTCGGAAATCTTAGCACTTTATATTCAGACATAGCGATGATGGATAGTTCTCTTCTGCTGTGCCGCGTGGCTATGCAATGACTTGATCCTGATTTAGCCGGGCCTGGGTAAATCCTATTTTTAACGTATTTATATATACGCGTTAAATTCAAAAAGAAATTTATTTGGTCAGTAATAAAATAAGTTGAAGCCATATAAACCCACTAATATGCATGTTTAAAGGATATGATTGGTTGGATTGAAGTTAAACAACTTTTAAAACGTGTAACTAATGTATAATTGTGCTAACGTTAAAACAATACGATTCAAGGGCTTTTCATACAATTCAATATAATATAAAACTTCGATTTTTTTTTTAACTTTAAAATAACGTGTTATAATAAACGCGTAATGCAGTGCCGACGATGCAAAGCGCGTAACATCTTGAGCCCATTTGCATATGTTGGCACGTGCGTAAGAGGTATGTACCCCCATAAGTACTGAGGCTAGCAACAATCGTGTTTTCGAAACCACGATGATATTTTTGGTGTTTTGGTCAAAAAGTTGTATGAGGGCCTCAGGCCCAGCGTGTTCGATGAGTCAGTTAATAGCCTGACCTGACTCGGGCCTGACCTGACCTAGCCTGGGTAGATAGCTTTTTCGGGATATCTATCCAGTTCAGGTATAAAAAAAATTTATTTGCCTAGTAGGCAGATAAGTTGAGGCTGTTCAGGCCCACTTTAATATATATTTATAGGATATAATTGGTCGATTTAAAGCAAACTATGATCGGCAACGTTTTATATTAAAGTAAATATAAGGTTGTTTCTAGTACCTTTTTACAATTGACGTAATAATAAGCTATTAAAAAAAAAAAAAAAAGAAGGTACGTACCTTGATACGTATAAGGTAATAAGGCTATTTGTAATCGTGTTTTTTAAGGTCACGATAACCTTTTGGTGTTTTAATAGGTAAAAAAGCGTTAAAGGTAGGGTTGAGTGGGTATTATTTTAGATTACCTCGAATCTAACCAATTGGATAGCGTGGATTTTGATTACCTAAATTTTTGCCTGTATCGATAAGATAGGTGCCTCAGGCCAAGCCCACGATACAGCCAGGTAAGCCTCATTTTTAAATATATTTGACCTGACTCGGATAAGGTCAAGTCTTTACAGTTATCTGACCTGACCTGGCTCATCGAACACGCTGCTCAGGCCAATCCCACGATACGGCCAGGTAAGCCTCAATTCACGAAAGATTTGGCTTAACTTGATACGGTTAAATATATACGATTATTTGACTTGAATCGGCTTGTTGGACTCGCTGTATGCAATCGGATTCGCATCAAGGCATTCAGCTAAAGGCTTAGGAAAGCGAGCTAGGAGTGGGTTGGTTAGGCTAGTGATAACTAAAATGGAGAGGATATTCACGATGTAGAAGTGTAATTCGTGGATTTGAAATGTTGAATTCGCATTCGGTTAAGGGGACGATCCTTGTATCATTTATTCCCGTTACGGATCCGTAATTGTAGCGGTCTATGGATTCAGCCCTACGACGAACAAGCTTAGAAGGATGTGACTACTTACCCTTAATCCGTACACAGTTCAGCTCCTATCTCGGCAACATGCGGGTGTAACAACTTCCCCTGAAATGGTAAGGCATGAAGCATCACGCATCATGCCCATACCCATGCTCCACTAAAGCTCACATATGTACGGGTCTGTACCTGTATGTACGAAGTAGTGTTACCTTATAAGGTACCTAACATAGTAAATCAATGAGGCCGCCGTTTCACTGATATCGAGCTCGGAAATACGGCATATTTTAGGTAGATTAGATACAATATTCGTCTTTTTAAATGCGCATTCTCAACCTCCATATTTCACCGGTTTTACCTACCTACATACCAAGGTAAGGTAGATAAGTATTTACGCCTAATTTAAGTTGCATCATGGCCCGCAAGAAGGCTCTCCTTATTGGCATCAACTACTTCGGATCCGAGCATGAATTAAATGGCTGCATTAATGACGCGGAAAACATCAGGAACTTCTTGGTCGAGGAGAGAGGCTTCTCACCCAGCGCTCACGACATGGTCATGTTGTCGGATATCCCTGAAAATGATGGTACTCCCTTTTTTCCGACAGGCGCCAACATTCTGGCAGCAATCAATTGGCTGGTTACCAGAAATCAGCCTGGTGATATACTTTGGCTGAGCTACTCCGGCCATGGATGTTAGCTATTTGATTCCAAGTATGTGTGCAGCGAGGGCTAATATGTATGTATAGCCCAAGTTAGAAGTGATGCTAGGGATCGACCTTCAGGGTAAGTTTGTGAGGGTAAGTAAACTGTCTAGGAATTTTAACCCCTGATGTGAACCAGCTTCGATGATACAATATGTCCGGTCGACTTTGCAGAAAACGGACAGATTTCAAGCGAAATAGTGAGTTCTCAGACAAGTTCGGCACCCTTTGATATTACTTCTACAAGATTCAAATACTAATATAATTCGTTGCCTAGTTGCATCGATCGATCGTCTCTCCAATGAACCCCGAATGCCGTCTTACCATACTCTTTGATTGCTGTCACTCCGGCTCAGCCTGCGAATTGCCTTACGTCTATCGACCCGACGAAGAGGGCAATGTCAATATGGTTGACACGATCAAGAAAGGAATCGGGTTGATTCGCGCAGCCGAGGGGCTTTTCGAAAGCGGCTTTTCCATGTCTAAAGTAGAGGATGCTAAGATGCTACTCGGCGGTGCGACTGACTTCTTCAACGGACTGCATCATCGTCGGAACGAGGATGTCGACGAAGATGGACTCGCCGTTGAGAATTTCGAAGAACATTGGGAGACAGAGGGCAAAGATGTCTGGATGTTCTCTGGATGCGCTGACGATCAGACCTCTGCGGATACATCCATTGCCGGAGCACCTACTGGTGCCATGTCTTGGGCACTTCTTAGGACTCTGAGAGAGAACCCCGAGCAGTCATATGTAAACGTGCGTCTTGGTATCAAATCCAGGGTAATCAAATGCTAACAAGAAGATTCTTTAGGTCCTCCAGAATACCAGAGAGGAACTGGCGAGGAACTACTCTCAGGTCCCGCAACTCAGCTGCGGCGGCAGATATGACTTGGACCAAGTACTCATCGTAAGTAAAATCGTATTCGGCTTAGCATAAATGCACCCGTTTTACTAATGAAAACCGAAGCTATGAGTTATCAGCAACCATAGACTGAGATTTCTATCAAGATCGAGATGCATTCTACCCCAGGAGGGTTGACATCTTGAGCAATAGTTAATCAACCTAAAGTATTTAGTTTAACTAAGTGGAAATCCCAATAGATACCTAAGAAATAAGATCATCGGGAAACAAATTAAGCGAGAATTCTTAAGCCTCTTTTTTACATAATATTATAGAGAGTTGTACGCCGTATACATACCTAATAGATGACGTATAACGCCCAATGACCATAGGTTCTCAATGGAATCTGACAACCATCCCCTTGCCAAGTCTTGGCTGTACAAAAAGCGTAATCCTAAGCAGCGCTCAGCTCTGATGCCAAGATCCAGCGGGCTAAGGCGTAGGGCTGGGATAGGCCGCAATAGGAAGGATTAACAACGCAAGGGTCCTAGGTACAGATACGGCGTATTCTCGATCTGCCAAGAGCCGTATGAATCTTACAGAACAGAGACCCTGATTGGCCAACGTATTCAGAAGCAAAGGAGGAGTTGAATTGATTCGCCGTATGGGAATAAGCTTCTCCAGATTTACGTCGATGGCACTTGCGGCTGTAAAAGGGGGGCTGTGATACCGCATCGTGACATAGGTAGGAGGATGGCAATGTTAATTTGCGACTGTCATGCAGTTACTTTTGTAAATATATAAGATGATTCGAAATGCCTCGACTAGGGCAATCGAATTTTGCATGACATCTCAGCTTCATAAGTAACTACATTCAAGATGGTATCTTCGAAGACTTTTCTTCCGTTACTCCTTTCGCTCGTACCCCATGCCAGCAAAGCGGCGACCGTCCGCCGCAGTAATAATACAGAGATCAAATGGGGATCATGCAAACTAAACACTACACTCCCGGTGCAATGCGCCCAACTGTCCGTCCCGCTCGACTACACCAACAAGAGTTGTAGCGACACTCTCAATCTCGATCTAATCAAGTACCCGGCTCAGAAGCAGCCGAAACGCGGTAGCATTCTCCTCAACTTCGGCGGTCCGGGCCAAGACGGTCTGGAAAGCATGCTTGCTTATGCAGAGCTGATGGGCCCGTACGTGTTATACTAGTTTAATATCGCCGAGCTCTTCGGTTCGATTTAATCTGAAGAAAGGTTGACTAACACTCCTATCGCAATAGGACTACTGGAGGTTACCACGATCTCATAAGTTGGGACCCAAGGTAAGTCCTTTCCCTCACTATACCCCATATTGTCATATAGACACTAACAATGCTGTATAGAGGAACGGGTAAAACTCTCCGGTTCTCATGCTGGCCCGACGATACCACAGGGTATTACGCCGCTATGGGAAATAGCCTGGCTGGCGGTGCGGACTCGACAGTGGGTAAACTCTGGGCCGAAGGTAACATTATTGCGACCCAGTGCCACGACCAGCAGAAAGAGACGGGCCAATTTGTCGGCATGGCATTCGTCGCAAGGGACATGATGTCAATCGTCGACGCCCTGAACGAAGATGGCATGCTTCGATACTGGGGTGAGTGTGATCTCAGTCGCAAACCAAAGGTTAACGCATTGGTAAGCTAACTAATCTGATGCTTAGGAATTTCGGGTGGTACTACGCTGGGAGCTACCGTTGTCGCGATGTTCCCCGATAGGGTAGAGAGGGTTGTTCTCGATGGTGTGATGAATGCGCATGAGTACTATAACTCTTTGTATGTGCCCCTTTTTCTCGGTATAACCTCCCATAAGAAAATCCAACTAACGGGTAGAAACCTAGCGGCGAACCTGAGATGGTGGCATCAATAGACGCTACCTGGGAGGAATTCATGCGCGGGTGTATCGCAATGCCCGACAACTGCGCCCTAGCAAAAAACAGGACCTACGATGAGTTAGAAGCAGCCATGACCGAGCTCTTCGACACCGTCCGGAACAACCCACCCGTCTTCAACGGTACCGTCGTGTTCGCTTACGATTTATTCAAGGCCCACATCTTCAGCACGCTATACTCACCAGCGAACTGGCCCGGCCTAGCCCAGGCGCTCGAGGATGTGCTAGAGGGCAACCTCGAGACGTTCGTGAACCGGGTCCTGGCATTCTCGATCCCGTCTCAAGACCAGGCAATCCTAGGGATCCGCTGCGGCGATAAGAAACTGCGGACGAATAAGTTATCCGATCTCGAGCCTGTCTTTGAGCAGTATCACAAGACCAGCAAGTGGTTCTGGGATTGGGCCTGGGGATATTATGTAATGCCCTGTGCGCAATGGGGATTTGAGGCCAAGGAGCGGTACGAGGGTGACTTCCAGGTCAAGACCAAGAACCCCGTGTTATTTGTCGGCAACAGTTTCGACCCCGTCACTCCGCTCGCTTCGGCTAAGAACATGAGCTCTGGCTTCGAGGGAAGCGTTCTTCTTACGCATAACGGTCACGGCGTGAGTGGTCTTTTCTTTTCTTTCTCCTTTATCTTCTCAGCCCCTATTTTATACCCTGCAGACTGGGAGCTAACCATTTCGTGCAGCACCTGTCTCTCACGCAGCCTTCAAACTGCACAAACTCTATCATTCAAAACTATTTCCTTGAGGGAGAACTACCTACGCCCGGAACCGTGTGCGAACCCAACTTCCCGCTGTTCGACCCCGCCGCCTCAATGTAGTAGCGATAGGAACATTATACTAGTTATGATATATTAATTTCACTTTAACTCTTGCTTTTTATATGTATAACTAGGTACATATTTTCTCCTTTAGGTATCATACACGGTTATGAAGGGGAGTCGGCCTTTAGAATTTTGATACATATTTGTTCTTACTAGGTACATCTTGATATAGAAATTCACTTGTTTTCGTAAGAACCTACTAATACAATCATTCATATGCTTGATAGTAGTTTCTTCGGCAATGTATTAATATATATATATATATAATCATTATGAGCGAATCACATGTAGTGGCCAGACATACAAAACCTACTTCCCGCTTTGAAAATACGACCAAGTTTGCGAACAGGGGGGGTTACACTAAACCCATTACCCAAAAACTTATTTCATGCACATATATAGTCATCACAATCTTGATTCTTAGCCGGGAAAATACGACATCGTGTGAGTAGCAAAGAGCTTGATTCTCTACCAATCTTAGGTAAGTTGGTACGTTGTCCATCTGACAACTAGTTCTCGTCCCTCCCAAATTCCGTTATCCTTTCAAGGATAAACGGACCATATCCTCCGAAACCAAGCCAGAACCATCCTCACTTCTCTAGGCAGTAGCTAGACGAAGTGCTCTTTGCATACTGAATCCGCCCACACCAAACCACGCCCGTGCGAAAACCATCACCCCTTTCCTATCCTAGTAGACCGAGGAAGTTGGGTTCACCGAGGAGCACTATGGTAAAGTCTCCCGGAGCTAATCGCCTGATGCTGTTAATTAGTTAGCATTTAAATTCAATGAAGACTAAGGCGATTAAGACATACCATATGGCGGGATAGCGCCTTTAATAATAGTAGTCGTCAACTTCGGGGATCCATTCTTGCGCCGCGCGAAGGAACATCCTCATACCCGAGGCGCTGTCATTTCCCAGCCATTTGTAGCTCCAAGTCACAGTCCCATCTGTCGTCTTGACATCCAGCCCCTTCACCATACGAATGTTCTTGTGATATTTCTGAAGGTCTGTGGGATTCCAATAGTCATCCCGGCTGGGGGTCGGGTGCTCCTCATCTGGAAATACATGCTGCTTGACCAGGATCGCATGTTTCTCGTTCGCTCCCCCGTTCTTGTATTCCATCCGCCGAGTCGGATCACTCCCGTCGGCACGGCTCAGGACCCTCCCAAACACGTTCGGCCATACGACTTCGTGGGTGCCCCTAGTGCCAAGGATGAGGTCGTAGTAGTCACCCATCCGTAATCCTTCTGGGAATTCAAGCTCTGCTATGGTTCCAGGCAAGGATAGTCCGTGATTCTCCTGGTCGTCTCTTTGAATTTCCCAATGAAGTCTCTTGATAGGTGGCTGAGACACAAACATTTTGCGCCAAGAAGCGTCTTTGACTAGCCATTTTGGTTTGACATCAGAGTCGAAGTGCCAGACGATATCCTTCATCCAAATGTGACTAGACTGTTTGTCTTCGGAGTCATAGCGTTGAAAAAGTGCTACGCTGAAGAACGGCCGGGCGACGGACGCCAACTTGAGATTCTTGATGTATCTCCTGTACGGGGTCATAGAGGTAGAGCTTGCGCGAAAGAATAAGGCCTTCTGAAATTTAGGCGATCCCTCGATGACGGCTTTCCAATGTTTAGATACCCGCTGCATGTCGACGAGAAGATAAGTCTTGTTAACCTTCGAAAGGATGTTTTCGAGGAGTTCGGGCACGGCGAAGACCCGTTCCGAAGCCGGTGCCAGTGCCGGTGCCGGTGCCGGTCCCAGTGCCATATTGACAATAGAGCATAAGAGGCCAAACATGGTGATGGAGAGGGTGAGACAAGTGGTAGATGATGATGGAGAGGGTGAGACAAGTGGTAGATGATGAATGGTTTTGAAGATGTTAGGTTGTTGTCTGATGTGGTTCCGATGATTGTATGTAGGAAAGACTTTGACTACTGAGCATAAGTAGGAGAAGATGGGAAGAGAAAGTTAGAAAGTTTGAAAATGTGGGAGGGAGGCCATGTTTATATATTTTTCAGATCCGAGGCATAGACCACCTTACAGCTGAAGGTCTGTCACTAGTAAAAAACAATGACTGTAACGACCTAGGTTGAAGGTTGGTATAAAATAGGTCCGTGTCGAGAGTTACCACGCAACATGACCGGACGGAGTGAGTGTTGAGTCAACCCGGACCCGAGTCGCCCCACTTTGACACTGACAACCGGGGAGCAATCACTAACATTCAGCCCCGTTGTCGAGGTAGGTGACAGTAGCAAGCACACTTTGAACTATGAAGGGTGGTTAGTATCTTGATACGTACCTTGATGCGTACCTTCATACCAGCCAATGTCAAAGAGAAAACTCCACATGTGTAACCTAGGTATGTTAACTTACCCACCGAGGTTGGTACGTATACCGAACAATAACTTGGATTGTACCTAAGGTACAAAATACTGCGTTACTATTAACCGTGCTCTCTTGAGAAAGATAGTCCGTGAGTCATGCAACTGCTAACATACCTACCTAACCTACCACATACTTACATAGGTGTAAGTATGCTTAGCAAGATAGGTAGGTACCTCTTAACTAGACGAGACGTACCTTAGTACCTAGGTAAGTCACCTACGTAGGTACGTACGTATGGTATTTACCTTAGGTTGGTAGGTACTCAGTATCTATATGTAGTACATAGGTACGTCTTACTGAGGGTAAAGTTGAAATATCATATGTGAAGTAAACAAACTCTGCTTACCCCCCAAGAGCCTCAATACGTACAATTGACAGAATCAAATATAGTAATGAAAAGCCATAAACTCTCTAAAAGTATACCAGTCCCTCAAAGCTATTTACGTAGGCATCGAGGCTCAACTAAATGGTAACAGTAACTAATATACCGACAGCGTGCCCTTTTTTGACGATATTACACCGAATTGCTTCAGCTAGAATACTCAAACATCCCCTGTAAATACTCTTTCGAGTTGTATCAATAGTAGGTATACTTGGTAATCTTGTGTATGGTTATATTACCTAGAGTAAGCAGCAAGTCTCCGAGAGACGAGAGGTTATAAACAGTGAATAGAAATATAGCTAACCAAAATGTATTCTATCGAAAGTTCGGCTGTATACGACTATATATAGTGTATTTAAAAGGTAAAGCACTATGTTTGCGTTTACAATTGTCTATGATGATATCCATGGATGGCAAATAATCGATCAGCTTGACATGGAAGCAAGTAGGTATCAATTGCCCTTCATGAAGCAAATCCTTATAAGGCGTTAGGCCGAGTTAACCATGTAAACATGTAATATCATGCATGTATCTGCAGTACCTAGTTTGAGGCTTTATACATACCTGAACAGTGCAATAACACATTCTACGTGTAGGTAAGCAACCTATAAGGTATAACAGAGGTGGAAACGCACGTGAGACTGGATATATTATCCCATAGAACCAGCATATTTACGGTGGTCGTCATATTATTGCCGCAAAGTGTGACAGTATATTAAGTACCTAACGACTTGGCTGTGTTATAATCATTGTAGATCACTCCATGCTAAAACGAATGATACCAAGTAGTAAAAACTGAGCTATATGGCACTCTAGCTATCAAGCTAATGCCATTGCTTGTTAACAATAGGCTCTCTAGACAAAAAGAAAACAAGCGTTAATAAACAAAGCAAACAGGTTCTTACGTATTATCTGAGGAATATGTATTTACCGCAACATCTCGGATTACACCCCCTTCCGCAGCCGGGACGTAAGATTCGTCAAAAATACTCCAAAGCCACTTTACCGCCCTGCCTTTCCCATTCGCGATCTCAGACACATGTCCTCCGACGCTATTCCTCTCATACGCGATATCCGCCCCCCTACCACAGAACCTCTCCACCAGTTGATCCGTCAGATTTATCGGGCAAAACTCATCCCCGATAGCCTTGTATACGAACATAGGCATAGCAGGCACCCCATGGAACCCGCGTCTCCCTTCCACATCGAACACCTTGCGCAGCACCGGATCTTTCAGATCCGCCGCCCCGCCTACGAAATAGCTATAGATGTCCCTCATCGCAAAAGCTCGTAGGGAAGCGCTAAAATCCATGTCCTTAGCGCTGAGGAACTCGTCTGCGGTCTCTGGACGGAGCCGGCTGCGGACGTACGCCGCGGCTTCGGGGTATTGCGACGTCGTCCCGAGGAGGGCGGCTACTAGGGAAACGGCGATGGGGCTCTTGTTTAACATGTCCATGTTATCTGAGAGATGGTCTACTAGGCCTCCTACCACGACCCCGGAGATGTCGAGCTCAGGGGCGTATTGAACCTGCAGTTCGGCGGCGGCCTCGGTGGCGATACTGCCGCCGCTGTAACCCCACATGGTGGTAGTGATGTTGGCATCACCAGTCAAGCGCGCCAAGTTGAGAACCGCGCGAATTGAGTCAAGTGTAGCGTGTCCAGCCAGTACACTAGCACCGAAAGCCGCATTAGGGCCTTCGAAATCGGGAGTGTTAATGATTCAGCCTTGTCCAAGCAATTCAGTAAGCAGCGAGGTATTCGACTGAATGCCGAGATCAATATTAGACTGCAATTGCTCCCGATTCAAGGTATACGACGGGCTAGAGTCAAGATTGGCCGTGTTATAGGCGAATTGGTAAGACAGCATAGCCGTCTTTCCCGAAGGAGAGACATAGAAGGATTTAGGAATGAGTAACGTAGTAACAGCCCAAGAGGGCCGGTAGCGTGAATCGGTGGTGCGGTAGAGTATATTATACGAAGTCGAGCTGTTACCAATAAAGGCAAGAATACCTGGTGCAGGACGTATCCTGAGGATAGTACCGGGCTCTTTAGTTTCAAAACCGGCCGGTGCCTTGTACCACGGATCTTTACTAGGAGGCAACGGTTGAGATGCTAGACTCGCCTCCTGGAATATGGAAGAGCCTGGCTGCTGTGGGACTTCACGGAGACCAAACAGCCAGCTTAGAGGGCGCACGTCGGCGCCACTCGATTCTTCAACAGGTGGTGACATAGGAGTAAGATGATGCTTGGCCGCATGTTCAGCATCCTTAGTTAAAGTAGGCAGCTTATTCTCTTGTGGCATAGAATCCATTGATCTTGTATATGGTTGTATGTTTATGGTTATAGAGATAGTACAAAAGGACTTCGCACTACCCATCAGCCGTATGTTGAGGGGGTAGCTAATATATGCTATTGAGGTAGGTTGAAAGGGTTCGACTTATGTTCAAGCCCCTTAGCAGTTAATCTTATTATTAGTGCCCTAGTAAGTAAGGGGTTCGATAATCATTGGTCGTTCGGGTCCGAACGTGAACGCCATAATGCGCCACGAGGTCAATGGTGTAGGCAAGACGGCTTCCAACGTCAGGTATCAAGGCTGACGCACCCTAATTAGGCTGTCTGCAGCTGGAAATCTCATCGTCGGCTAACAGCTAGCATTAGCTTTATGGATAAATATTCACATGTAGCACGAAGACATCAGTCAGTTGTTATAGGAGCAATATCATTAACTGGTGAGACATTCTTGTAAAATTACGGCCAATGCTTTGATATCTAATCTACTGCTGCGGTAACTCCAGTCTGTGATATATTTTACATCGAAGTAAACCCAGCCGGCGCAAGTGCAAGAGCAAGTTCAAAAAAGGCAACGGCGAAACACAGCTATGGATTCCGTAGTCCATTCTTCATTACCTTACACCCACCCTACGCTATACTCCCCACCTTGACAGAAACGCTTCAACATGTGCAGTACCTATCCTCTAACCCTACTATCCTGCTTCGCGCGGGGCGGCGGCGATCCTGTCCGAGATCTGCTAGGGCTGTAGCTGTACCGTCTTCTCTTTTTATCGACAGGGGTAGGTGACCGGCTATCGTATCGCGGCCTCTTCTTGGGAGCGCTGCTGATAGAGCTGGTATTTCTACGTCGCCTCGGGGGTGATGATGGTGATCTAGAGGAACGGCCCCGCTGCGGAGGAGGGGATCGAGATCGGGAGTAGTTCGAGCCACGGCGTGCTCGACGAGGAGGGGGACTAGCCGAGTATGAATCTCGTCTCGCTGGTGCCCTACGCGGTGGCGGACTCCGACTCAATGTCGGCGGTCTCGCTGCTGCTTTGCGAGGAGGCGGGCTGCGGCTCCGTGAAGGTGTGTATGAACGAGATCGTGTGGAGCCGCGGCTACGGCTATACGAACGAGGCCTACCAGCTCCCCGTGCCGGCAGTGGGGTTACCGATCTGTACCGCGAATGATTTGAGTCACGACGACCACGAGGCGGACTAGGGGAGCCAGAATATCTCTTTTTAGTCCGCCGCGGAGACGGGCTCCGAGACGAACTGTACGAACGCGATCGGGAGCGGGATGGACTCCTACTCCTGCTATACGATGCCGATCTAGCTCGTCTCGGCGGTGTTCGAGATATCGATCGGCCTCTATCAAGAGCCCTTCGTGGCGGTGTACGAGATCTAGACCTAGACGAATAGGAGGAACCAGTATATGATGAATAGCTAGACACGGAATCTGAGTCGGAATTGTCGACGGCGGGAGGTGCGGGAAGAGCTGGCTTCGGCATATTGGCCAAGTACTCTCTCATCTCCTCCGTCAGGGCGCCCATACCGATACTGGTAAAGTAATTGATCGAGAATCGTACGTTACGGGGATTGTCGCGTGGGAACAGACCCGTAAAGCTTTCTTGTAACATATCCTCCCGCATTCGTGCCTGTAACTTCGTCATACCGAGCTCTTCTGAGATTTCTTGGAATAGGATCTTGATGAAAATTCTGCTAGCAGAGGTCGTCTCCTCTTCGTTTAGATGTATGACAGACATAGCGTGCCAGCCGATAGCGTCCGAACCAAACATGTGGCCAAAGAATCTCGCAATGTTTCGTAGTCGATTTGTCTCGTACCGGTGAATTGTTTCATAATATTTTTCAAAGCTCTGGGTAAAAAGGTCGCACCATAGACGATTGATCTTAGCAAACCTTTCCCCAATCAGGCCGAAAAACTTTGAATACGTCTTTTCCTGACTACAGCATTCTACCACCATAGAAGGTAGCTCAGGTTCCTGACCAGTTGGTAGGTTAACCTTCATGAGCTTATGGACACATTCTTCGGGGTCCATGCTGCTCATAATGGTGAGGTAGATAGTTTTACGGAGATTAACAAGGTCGGTGTTAGACTGATCCTTGATCTCCATGGCTTTCTGCTCCTCGTCTTCTTCCTCGGAGCTCTCGTCCTCATCATTGTCATCTTCATCATCGTCGCTTCCCTCCCCAAGAATCTCAGCTCGTAGCCTCTTATAAGCTGCTTCATTTTCCTCCCATTCTGGATCAAATTTGAAGATGTTGAGCCCATCTTGGACGTCCAGGTCCGCGCCTAGATCCATCTTATGTGTAATCTGGTCTTCCTCCTCGATTAAATCCAGCTCCTCCTTGATCGCAGGGTTGTCCTTAAATTTATCCTTCCGTACTTGGAATAAAACTTCAATCATGAACTGCACCCGCTTGTCGATATCCGCCTCGTGAAGGATATTTCTGAATTGGTCAAAGACGATACCTGCAATGGCCGGGTTCATGTCTTCCAGATGCTGTCCCACTTCCTTCGTTAGACCAACCGCAATTTCTACGCTGTCATCCGTCGGTTTTTGTAACAGCAAGATCAGCATCTGAGCAGCCAACATCTCGTGAACAACCTGTTGGTTGACTAGATGCGCAATGAACGTAGTCGATGACAAGCACACCGCCTTATCATTCCGCTTGAACGCTTTCCTGAATTGTACGACCAGTCTCTTAACAAGCAGCTCACCAACCTGCGGTAACTTCGTGTTGACGATAGCCGCCATGGCTGCCAGAACCGGGGTAAATGGCAAACTTGCCGCTTGCGCTTTCATGATGCTTCTGCAAAAGAGTCCCCGTCCCCTGACCAAATTCTCCTGGAACAGTTCCGGAACGATATGTTTGATGTTGGAGACGTTGACCTTATTGATAAGGCCGTTAATACTCTTTTTCAACGCTTCCCAAGCCATCCGCTGATATTCCTTGCTTGTCTTATCCGTAATCTGGGCCTGCAGCGCTCGCAGACGTGCAGGAGGGATATACGTTCCTCCCGATCGCATGTTTAAAAGCTTCTGGTATTCGGCCTTTGCTGCCGCCTGCTTCTCCTCCTCGGTAGGCATCTTGGGCGGCGTGCGCTGACGAGGTGGCGAACGTTGGCGGGGAGGTGAGCGACGGCCGCGGTCGCGCGCAGGTCTATACGTGTCACCACCATCGCGACGTTGACCACGATCGGGATCGCGACGGGGAGAGCGAGGAACGGGAACTTCGTTCGGCGATCGTTCGCCTAGGTGGCGCGTCTCGACTTCGGCCATCGTCTCTTACTACCCTAGTAGAATAAATTATATAGGCTAGAGTAGCGAACAAATGACCCAAGGTCCGAGCTACAACCAACTAGTTAGTTATCCCCGCCGTCGAGAAAGTTGTCGTTGAAAAAGGATGAAGTTGGCGATGGAAAAAGTTGAAGTAGGCAAGGGCAAATGTGAACGTGACGAAAGTTTGGACGAGGCTGGATAGCTCTCGGGAAAGTGGGACCACTGGTAACACACCTGCATTTAGGTAGCTTGGCAGTATTGTACAAGCCACATAATCAAGCCCTCAAGCCCTCAAGCCCCTAGGCCTTAGACCAAAGTTCTAATTGTTAGGTAATTGTTCCACTATTCCAATTCACTATTCGTGTCGCGTCTCGTTTCGTTCGATGGGAGATTTCGATTTCTAGCCAGGTCATCATCTACCTCAACTACCTCAATAGCAACAGACTCAGACGAAGCTAATACCAACTATCTACTTACTAATTCACCACGTTCTTTACCTAAACCTAAAATCTATTCGTTTACCATCTTATAACCGACAATGGTACGTCTAATATCCCATCTTTCATCTTTGACTTCTTGCGCCGGGCGCATCATACCATGGTATAGTATAGCTCCTTACTAACCTTTAATCACTTTGCAGCTCGGCACTCTCGTCGGTTTAGCCATGCTGGTGGCCGCCTCCGTCGTCTTTCTCTACTATTCGATCTGGACGTTGGCTATGGTACGGCAACATTATTTCCCCCTTTTCATCTCAATCCGCAGTCTAACACATCTACGCATAGCCCTTCGTCGATTCAGACCACCCTCTCCACAACTTCTTCCCGCCGCGGGTCTGGGCTATTCGTTTACCCGTTATCCTCATCCTACTCGGATGCGCCGTTGTTGGCTCCTTCCTGAGCGTCGTCATGATCCGTAGCAACAGGAAAAAGGCTGCTAAGGCTAAGGCCGCAGCATCTAAGAAGAAGGCGTAGATGGTATTTGGCTTCGAAAATTCGGAAAACATTTACTTGACATACACGGAGAAATTGGGCAAAGTTAGACTTAATTGGACTCTAATTATGACATTGCAAGTGTTGCCCCTGAGCCAGCTGGCCGATCTATGTCGCCAAATCTACATAATAAACCCCTAATGGTAAAAAATGAACAATGATCAATACAGTTCACGTCCTGGAAGATGAATGCCAGAGGTGATTTGACGGTATCTAATTGAGTTGCGTTCTCAACTCCGTATTGATGGGACTATATATTTCGTGTCTGCAATGCAATATGACTTATGCAATAGACGGCAATCCCACCGTTCCGTGCCTTTCCGAATCCAAACCAGATAAGCGAGGGTCTAACAGGATGTGTTCGCAGAGATAGCTTCGTCTATTGCCTCTCGCACATGTTTGCGCAGTCTGAGAATCAAACTCCCGTGTTGAACCGAGACGCCTATACAAGTAACAAGGCCAATTCCTCCAAATTCGGCATCTACCTCAAACTCTCTGGTCCGCAAAATCAAGTACTTCGCAATCGTCTTCAAAGAATCCGTCTTCGTCGGCGTCCGTAGATCTATTACCGCCTCTACGCCGTCGGGTCGTGACTACGATTTGCTCATCGTTCTCGCCAACCTGCAGGACCCGCTCCATAGCCGAGGCGGGTAGGGCACGGTGGTCATCGACGCTGGTACTGATATCCTCTTCAACGAAGTGTACTATTCCCACATTCACCCTGTCCACATTTAAGACTTCTCCGAAAGCCCATGGCTGTTTCGGAGGTGTCCAGGACCGCCGAGTTTTGCCGCCCCTCGGCGTATCCTCCAGGGTTGTAGCCTGGAGAAGTTCGGATACAGAAGTTGCAGACCCGTCACCATATAAATATAATCCCACCCGCCTATCGGTGTGGAACGGCTGGTAGGGTGCACTAGACTCTATCTCAGCTTGCGGGATGAAAGTCTCAGGACTATATTCGGCGTCGGTAAGTTGTGGTCGGGGGTTGAAAACCAAGGTGTTGCCACCATCATGTTCTTGGTTAATTGGGTCAAGATCCTCGATAGGGTCGATAATCTGCTTGATAGACGGCGCAATCAAATCATTGGGCAAGTGGTTCAACTTGAAATCCCTGTACTGATTGCCACGCTGGAAACGAGATTTGTCCTTTCCGGTCGTTGGCCTTCTGCTTTTTCCTGGAAAAGTCCTAACTAAACCATCCCCTAATACGAACAGGTTGTGATACTTCTTGCCAGTAATCCATGTCGCGCAAAACGGGCCAGGCAACATGCTACCGGGTGGTAAGCTGACACGGTTCTCGCCTGTGTGGCGTAGCTGGCTAATGGCGGTCCCGGCGTTTCCCAAGGAATGGCTAATTCCTGCAGCAAGTACCTTACCTCCATATCCAGCGCGGTCCATGATAGTAGACGGCGTTTGCGAGTTTGAGCTCGTACGCCGATGGCGGGAAGTCAAAGTCCGAGTGGCACCATAAGCAGAACTAAGTGCATTTGATGCCAGCGAAACCGCCGAGGGTGCATTTTCAGGACCCGCGGGCAATCCGTCCTCGACTCTAACCCGGCGACGAGGAGGAGGCCAGGTGAACGCACTCGGAGGCATATCGAGCAAGTGTACTGTGCCTCTCTCGGTCACCATCGCGGCTCGCTCTCCGTTTGGCCTCGCCCACGCTACATCAACGATACGAGCGACAGTCATCCGTGAAAACTGTGCGACCTGCCTTACTCGTGTCGTGTGACCGTTAGCCAATTGCGAATTTTGCAAGGCCGAAGATTTCGTGTACTGAATACGCATCAGATCCCACACTGTCTGCACATCTCCTTTGCTGCTCGCAGTGAATATGGATAGACCAGTCGGAGAGAACGACAAAAAGCTACAACCAAGTGGTGCCTTGAATGTAGTAACGTGGTGAATTGCAGCTGAGTTTGACAAGCCCTGTAGGTCTAAGATCGATACTAGACCCGGTTCCTTAGATACCGCCTGACCGGGAATGCCATAAGTCGGAGGAAATTGTGCTGCATCTGGTCTGCCCGAGTACCCCCCATTCCAGGGCGGTGAGCCCATCTGAGGCTGGCGAGATTGTGCTTGCTGGCCAGGCTTAGACCAGTAGTTTTTCCATAGCTGAGCCGACTGCTTCGTAACCCACCGAGCTCCTTGGATGAAATCCTGGGTAGTTTCTCTCATTATGCGGTTCATAACGCCGTCGGGAACGGGCTGATCGACATCCGAACTCTCATTTGGCAGGATGGGAGGAGCAAGGGTCGCTAAGCCGGGCGCTTTGCCTTCCAGCGGTACCGGAATGTACGGGTTGAGTGATTTCTGAGGTGAAGGCGCTGGTGGACAATACGCCAGCCACCTACCGTTGATTGCGACGATAGGCATCTGCGGACGTTTTCCAGCAGGAAGCGGGCTTTGGCTACCATCCTTCTCAGGGGTTGAGCCTCCGCTCAAACTTGTCCATACCTTGCCCACACAGCAAAACTGACACCCAGGGTCTTGCTCGCATTTCGTCTGCCGGTATATCCAGCACTCACCCGTAACCCCTGAAGATATCAGAACGCTCCCGGCATCGGTGCGAAGTTGAAAAGCACCAGCTGGTGGCGGGCTTCTAAAGACCGGGTTTGTCACTAGAGTCTTAATAGGGGTTTTTGGTGCCTGCAGGAGTACATCAACAAGCCTGTTGGTTGTTAGAGAATATACCTCGACAGTGGTCTGATAGGCGTCTATTATTGGTAGCGTCTTTCCAATGCTGATTTGTCGCTGGTTGCTATCTGACTGGGGCGTATGAATACCATCTAGCCGAGGACTGGACGACTCATTAGAGTGGTGGTCAACAGCTATCTCGGGGATCTCCAGTGGTACCACCGGTCCATGAATGACAAGGGCAATTAAAGGAAAGATGCCGTACGGATCCGACATGCCATTCCAGGGTAAGATCTTTGCATTATAAACACCACCCCGCAGTCCTTTCAAACTGGCAAGCGGTTCTACGGCATGCTTTGTAGCGCTGTAAATATCGATGCCACCTTCGTAGCCCGCAAGAACAACATTATCGCTGCCCGACGTCTGAGCCCCGCTTGGGTTCGGAAGAGTGTCAAATCCGAAATAAAAGCCCCTCTCACCCGGTTTCAAGCCAGCTTTGCCGTTCAAATCGAAGTCAATATCAGGAGCACCGTAGAAGTGAGCTTGAGGCTGGTGAGGTAACGGCGGATGAGACCCAATCCGAGGCGGCAGATATGGTGAATGCATCGAACTTCTTCGCACTCCAGGGGGCGATGACGCCTGAGACCGGATGTCATTCGTGGGATAATGTGCATCTAGCTGGAAGCTCAAAGGTCGCCTGATTCCAGTAGGAGGGGAAGCAGAATAAGCATGACCGTTTACGAAGTGTTGTCGTTGTTGCTGCGCACTCCAGGCATATGGTAGGGACCGCGGATCCTCGTACGAAGAAGGTTGGGTTGGTGGAGAGTCGCCCATGATACTTATCAAGTTTGACGGCGAACCAGCCAAGGGCCCCATCGCTCGCGCCCAGTCATTAGCACTCGGGGCCGTGCTGGCAGATACAGAGGTCGTTGAAGCCGCATCCAACATCGGGGAGAACGCTGCATTGCCGTTCGTGGGTATGGATGCGGGAACTGTAGGTTTCAGCTCCGGAGACGCCAGAGGGGAGTCAAAGGGCGGAGATGCATCGCTGGCATTATTGATGCTACTAAGTTACAGTTAACACATCAAGTTCCATTTACAGCCGGATTAAATCCCAAGCGACCAGCGAATCGACAACTTGCTCGATAACGACTGGATAGGAGGTACGGGGTACGTACGAGAACTTGGCCCCATGTCTCGTCACCGCTGCGACAACCCCGCCGCTTTCTTTAACATTCTTGTCCTTCTTCTTTGAACCTGAGATATCACTTCCGGTAAGTTTTTGGTATCGTTTATTACGACTCTTTTTCCCCACGGAGGAGGACGAGGTCGGAGAGGTATCGCGGGTAGACGAACCGGGCATAGGGCGGTGCTAGCAGGACGGCCGGGGCAGTCTCCTGCTCGCCGGCGGAGGAGCTCGATAAGGAGCTCAACTCAGAATGCAGGGGTCGCAACGAATATCGCGAACGGAGTACGTCAAAAAGGGAAAAAGAAGAGTCAGGGCAGTATCGCAAATAAGTTGAGCGTCGGTTTAGGTTATTACGTCGAAGAGTTCAATGTTGATTCGACAACTCGTCGGAGGGACAAAGACACACAAGCGCGTTGTACGCGATCGACACCGAGGCTAGGTTTAGGAGGGGAAGCACAAAGGAGAAGAAGACGCAGGCAGCCGAACAAAACGGCAGGGGAATTATTACTATTTTGTAAGGTCTTTCATAGACGAGGTTAGGTTATCAAGAGATTATTGTCAGCACTGCTGTATAGTATGTACGTATTTAGAAAGAAGGGTATCGAATCTATGAGAGTTTTTGTCCAAGTATGTTATGTAGTTGTTAGAGGGAAGGGTATCATTAGTTGGTGAGTGTTGCTGAGTATGTAGGTAAGGTATGTAAGTATAGAGGGAGAACCGAGGGGAGGGGGGGGATTGAGGTCAGGAACCTTGTAAGATACTATGTACATAAGGCACGTCCTCAGGAACGAGAGTGTAGACGTGTACCTAACGCATGTACATGATAAAAGCACCTGAACATTGAATCAATTGATAGTGTACCTATACGGTTATGTAAGTACTGAATCAGTGCCGCTTTAACAAAAAGTACATACTTTGCATAGTTTGCATAAAATAGTACCGCCTCGTTCCGTTTTGGCTCTGACGTGAAATATGTTATCTCCGTTTTTCTTATAAACTAACTACTATGTATCATATCTTGCTAACCTTTAGGTCCTTCATAAATAGCTGATCAATCACCTGCTCCGTTGACTACCTAACCTACTTGACTTATGTTGCCATGAGGCTACTTCATCTTGCGTTGCATACCCGATCTTCGTCACCAGAGCCATGTCATCAATGCCAGGCATTCCGACGGGCTCGAAGAATTAACGAGATGGTCTAGGTACATGCTCGGCAAGTGACTCAGGTCCGCCGAAAGACCAACAGGCAACTCGTTTCGGCAAACTGCAGCTCGGAAACAGAGACTTACATGTTCCGTTAATATCTATACGATATCTTTTACGTGACAAGTCGTACAGTAAAAATCAACGATATAGTCTCCTTAAGGTAAGGCTTACCAAACAGCAAAAATATATATCCAATTAGGGATATCAGGAGTTATGACAAGAGTGGGATTCGAACCCACGCGTTTTGCAACACTTCGATCCCCTTTTCACAAGGTTAAGTTGGGTAAACTTGAGCGAAGCTCCATAGACCGCTCGGACATCTTGCCTTAGGTATAGAATATTTTTAGGGCTAATATTGTTCTATATTGATTCGAAGCTATTTATCGTGGGGTTACCATTCTTACCATTCTCATAGTAGCTAGCTTGCTAACTAATGTTGACTAAGAGGAACGACCGTCTCTCAACAAACACTTCCCAACCGTTAGCTTACTGGTTTAGGCCGTTTTCGCAATCCGTTACCACGCATTATCATTCATAAGCCATTATATGAGTCAATGCATGTGACTGATAACACAAGCGGCAACGGAAAGGAGGGACATTAAACGGTATCCTTAATATGTACAATCAAGATGCCTGAAGAGGGGAATTCATATTAATAACCAACAGGGGTAAGTCTACGTGTAAGTCACTAATCCGGTAAATTCTAGCCTGTGAATAGGCGCGATAGGCACCATGTGGAGGGTATGCTGGGGGTTTGGGGGTTGTTAGAAGCAAGGAACAAGGATAAATGTGTATATTGTTAGATGTGTACCCTGTATGCATTATGTACCCTTTACGTTGCATTATACATGTACCTAGGTACCTACCTTTGTACGGATTACAATGCAGCACAATACGGCGCATAATTCAAGTCCGGTTAGAATTGATGTTAACAAGGTACATGGTTGATAAAGACGGATGATAAAGGGGATCCAGCTCTTCCACTTCCCCATTGTCCAAAAGATGCACATGCACAACCCAGCTGCGAGAGCCCCTCACTATGCCCAGCCTGGCAGCCGTGGCAGCATGCTGCATGGGAATGCTCAAGTGGATCAGAGTAAGACAATACAGCTGGGAACATTACCTTCAACTGACAGAGCTTATCCTTGTCTTACATATGTAGGTATGAACAATAATCTACCTAATGTAGGTATCAGTGAATGATACCTCGATGCATTCATGTGAATTTCCCTTATCAGCAGCTCCAATACTACGTCATCGGCTCTTTTACAACGTGGACTCCGAAAAAGGACTTCCCTTTGAAAAAGGGGGAAGACGTACATCATTAAAGAAGACAATTTGTAAAAGGGGCACATTCGAGGTCACGGACCAGCAATCTAAATAATGATATTACACTATTTGCTCCGAATGATTTCATCACGGGACTTCGTCGTCATCCATCATCCATAATATACCAAACCAGTCACGCCCCCTGCCAGCCACCTATCTAGTGTACACATGTAGACTCACTCCAGCTTCTCCCACCGCTCCCTTCCCAACCCGCCATCGTGATCAGGGTGTCCTCTCGTGGGGTGTACAAGATCAGCTGACGCCTAGCTGAAGAACCATATGCGCGCTAGGCACGAGAGCAGATTACACTATTTTGCTATTTCTAGAACAGTTATTAGTTTCTCGTTAAAGTCTGGCGTGCTGGACATCCGCCTAGGTCAAGTATATAACACATAAGACTTAAGTCAGGTACCCAGGGCGCAGCAGGTAGGTTTTGCAATCTCAGCAAACTCAAAGCGTCCATCATGACAAAATTCATATTATTGCATCATCCCGGCGCCTGGCGGTAGACGGATCAGACGGGATTTCCCACCCGCGCAATTCTACCATCCAAGTACCCGCGTACCTAGAGGCCAGGAACATGATTTATTATACAGGATATTGAGAGCAGCAATCAAAATAAATAGTCCAAACCAGTTGCGAACGAGTGTGCGCAAACGAGAGGAGTCACCGAGCTATCCGTCGTGGATATCGGGTTTCTTATGCAGATAGACTTGATAGAGCTTATACTTCAGCTCTCCCTGTTCCTCTTTCAGGATCGCGCGCGCCGCCCACGTTATCTCCCGGGTCTCGAGCTTCTCCCCGATGGAAACTAACGTTCCTTCAATCATATACTGAATGACCGGTTTTTCGCCTTCGTTGTAAGCCGTCTCTGGATAGAAGGTGGCTGGATACACCGTCAAAGGTTTATGTTTTCGCGTCTGCACTCCTTCCCACATTCCCTTGCGCATTTGACGAATATCTATGCCAGCAGCCTCCATGTTAGCTTCTAGATGCGGTTTCTTATCTGTTTCCGCTAGATCTCGCCTACTCTCTGTTCCCACTGCCATCTTATCCCCTATGATAACGGTGGCATCGGGGAGGAAGGACTTTACCCAATCCTCATCCCTTGATCTGTCGTCAGATATGGCGTAGAACTGCGATATGAAGTTCTTGACTTTCCCATCAACCGGGTGATCGATTGGGAATAACGGCGTGTAGTCATCGGAAGCCGCCATTTTGAAGATAACCTTTAAAAAGTAAGCGTAATTATTTAGACGTCAATATTTGAGGGGTAAAAAATTTAGGATGGTATAGATCGAGATATTTAAGACATTTATTAGCGATATTCCAACGTAACCTTTCTCTTGCATGAGGGGTATTTACTAAGCACCTCGTCGTCGGGTATGTCGGGTATAAGAGTATAATGGATTTCAATTACTATCCTCGAACTATCCTCGAAGCATCGACCAAACCACCTTAGCCTCTACACGACTACCTATTTATCGTCAACGAGAAATATTTCTCTGCATAGCCATGCAAGGCTAAAGCAACTAGTTCTCCGACAAAGGTTTCTGCAAATATCTAGCATTTGAAGTTACAAGCCAACATCATAGCCCCGGATGTCTGCAGGCCGGCTACAACCGAACAATTCGACCGGTATCATCCCCAGCCAGGCCTTTACAACATAAGGCTTTGCCATTTCTCAAGGCATTTTAGAACTTCCAAGTTCAGGTAGTCTCGAGAATAGTATGCTCTTAAGTGAATAGGCCAAAGAGACATGCGATAACAGTAGACATAAATTGAAATTGGATACTCCATGTTGGCGGCGGTATGAGTAAACCACGAAAGTGATGCTATAACGTATGTAAGAACCTCGAAGCTTTTGATTTGTACAAAATAGTCTAGTCCTTTTGAACCTGCCGAACCTGCCGAACCATCCAGAACCTTGCCCTCTTGAATGGTATGTGTTAGCATGCTATCCCATATCCGCGGGTCGCTAGATTAGCACATGCTAAGACTAATCGAGGCTGGGTATTCGACAGTCTGCCGAGTAGTAGTCGAGGACTGAATTAAAAGTCAGATAAACGGCATCGGGTATCAGTAAAGAGGAACGCATCCCGAATGAAAACAAAGATGATGAGAATTGCAGAGGGCATGAGCCATAATGCTCGAATTATTAGAAGTAGATTAGCGGTGAGGACCAAGCATTACATCTTGACGCCTCGCGAAGTCACTTCTCCCCTTCCTCCGATATTTAGCAGTTTACGACACTCAGGGCAGTACCACTTCGTCGTGCGTGCTGGTATCTCAGACAGTCCCACGCACTCAAGGTGGAACCATTCTTGCTTGCAATTCTGTAGGTGGGGGTTGGTTAGTTTCTTTTTGCGTGCTTTCTCGTCACCACGTGCTGGGGTTGCAGTAGTCTTTGTTGCGCTCACATCTACGTTATCGCACTGTATCATAGTGCCGAAGCTGACTCTGTTGCAGAGGCAGTATCTAGGTTCGTCGGGATCGATGACATTGCCATCGTCGTCCACCTCCACCTCTACTTCCTGCTCGGCCTGCTGGCTTGCACCCCTCTCCTTCTTGGGGTTACCGCCGCGAGCCTTCTTACGTGGCGCTGCCTTGCGCTTTCCTATAGCGCTAGTGCCGCCCGAGTTTGTAGTCACAACGCCTGGAGCAGGTCGCTTAGTACGTTTGCTAGGCTGACGCAATTCTGGAGCAGGGGTGTTTCTAGCGGTGCTCGTACGTCGAGGCCGTTCGGCCGCAAAGGTTGGAGGGGGCTCCTGGCTCGCGGCTTTCCCGCGTGAAGTAGGCCGGCGTACGGGGATAGGCTGGGACTCGGGAGCAGGCGTGGTTGCAGGCGTATTGTTTTGGGAACTCGACTGCTTATGGTTAGCTGGAACTGAGGCCGGAGCTGATTGAATATTCTGTCTAGTTTCCCGTTTGGGCATTTCCCGAATCGGAGGGGGGATGGGCGTAGTCGAGGTCTTGATAGGAGGCGGAATAGGAGTCTCCGCCGGCAGCTTGACGGGTATCGTCGTAGCAATATTAGATGACGGAGCTGGACTCGTCGCCGCCGAGGAAGCAGCAGACCGAGTAGTCATCATAGATGTCTCGGAAGAAACTGGAACGGGTAAGGGTACCGGCGTCTTTGACGTAGCAGCAACCTGAGGAATCTTGCCGAGCTGCGGGACAGGGACTGGGACTGGAGTCTCTGTAGGTACAGTAGGCGCGGGCGGCGGAGGTGGCACAGACGGCGGCCGAGGAGTTAATTGGGGCAGCGGCACAGGCGTCTCAGTTTTGGTCCGCTTTAACGGGGGTTTCTCGGGCTGGCTGGGCGTCTGGCTGGGCGGCTGATTCGCCGGTAAGCTCTGAACTCCCTCGGGTTTCTCTGCAACGGGAGTTTCTGACATCGAGTTACGCTTTCGCTTTCTGGCCTTGGACTTATTGGTCTTGCCTTGATTCTGGCTCGTCTCAGGGGCTTTGTCCTGCGCACTTCCGTTTACAGGCGGGGAATCTTCATGGCTAAGGAACATGCGAGCAGCTTCTACCATTTTCCTAGCTGATTCTTCTGCTTCCTCGGCAGCGATCCTTGCCATTGATTCACGTTTCAGCTTCTTGGCCTCATTTAATTTCATACCGCGGTTGCTTAACTGTACCTCGTCTGCTGTCAAAGCCTCGGCACTAATGGCACCTTCGGGGGGATGCTTTGCCCCGGACTCGGCGTCAACCACCGGAGTAGGAAGGGTAGCTTCGAACGGTTTTCCCTCCTCCTCAGCTTGTTTTTGGGCGGCCCTATAAGCTTCGACGCCACGACCCAAGTTTTTGAGCTCTCGAGCTATCATGGTATCGCTGGGATTCCATACCGCATTTTTTTTCATCCTCTTACGTAACTTGGCAAGTTCATAAGGAGTCAGTTGGAGCCATGGGGCGTCGGCGCTGCCGGGAACAGCGTTCTCGGGAGGCGGCTGAAGTTGCGCCAATGCAGTGCTCGTAGACATCATGGGAACCGCATTATCAGACCGATTAGCCGGAGTTCGAGGTGGTCGCGGTGGCTTCGGAAGCTTCTGCTTGGGGGGCTTAGGAGACTTCGGGAGCTTGACCACCTTGATACGTGTCGACGGAGTTGCGATTCGCCTAGGAGGTGACATGGGTATATCCTCCTCCTCCTCTTCTTCAGAGCTCGCGTCGCTCAAGGAGCTGTAAGCATTGAAATCTATTTCGTAAGGCGCAAGCACCTCTCCCGGAACAGTGATTCGAGGTGGCCTCTGGATCTTTTGACCATTGCTGTCAAGCCGAAGTGTGATCTTAGGGGTGCGAACTGTTTGTGGGGACTTAACCTGGGAGGGACTCTTTTGTTCCTCGGCGGTAGGATAGTTGTCGCGCATTGCCAGTAGCTTCGCATGTATAGTCTTAGCTCGGTTATAATGTCTGATCACGTTCTCGTGAATACGGACGGCCTCGGCGTGGGAGAAGACGCGCGAGCTGACAGCGCGGTTCAGATTCTCGGATATATCTTTGCGCAGCTGAACCGGTGCAGGACGTTGGTCGGCTGCGAGTGTCGGCAATTTTGCCCATGCGGTAGTGAGGTCGTTCACAGTAGCTGATGCATCGATGTAGGCTTGATCAAGCTTTCCGATCAGGGTAAGAGATCGCATCATGTCGGATGGCAGATATTCTGTAAAATCGAGGAAATCGGTTACGGTGGCTTGGGCATCTGGGTCGGCGCGCATGTTGAGCGAATCAAGGCCATTATTCGAAGTGTCCAACGGTGGGATGACCTGCATCAAAGAGCTGGAGTCCTTGTCGCCTGGTGAAATATTGCCATCGAGCTCCACACTTCTATCGTTGTTTGCTTCTACTGCGGTCGCCATGACTATAGTGCAGACCGCAGAGAGGGGTATAGACAAAGGTTGGAATGTTGATAAATGCAGGATATAGTAGTTAGCGAAGTATAAGGAGGGGCAAATAATAAGTCGTGGGCGAACCTCGTGCGACAAGGTTAAAAGAGAGCGCCAACGAGAATTAGTTGCGATTAAGGTGAGAGTTGTAAGAGATGAGAGGTTGTCGCGTCAAGGTTTGGGCCTGAGCTCCTAAGTTCTTTCTTGGCGGCGTTACTGCTAACAGTATCAATAATAATAAGAAACTGTGCGAAGTACACTTTCCTTATTTGTATAAAAAGTACTTAGGTACCTATCTTGCCCCGCAGGGGTTTCCTCCATAACTTGTGGCTGAGTGATTAGGTAAGGACAGCGCAACTATCATCCGAGCATCAAAGTGCCATACCCAGAAAGCGCATCCCTTGAAATATCACCCTTCGTCCGGGGTCAAAAATTACCTGCCTTTCAAATCCTCATCAAAAGATCATGATACGTAAAAGAATCGATTTATACCCGCATATACATATATGCATAAGGTTTTGATTCCTCGGATTCTAAGAAAACGGGGTTGCAAATCTCGGCTGGATGGATTCACTTACGTCTGATTCATTTACGTCTAGAATTACTTATACGGCTCGCTCTATCAGCCATTGAAGACGTGAACTACTTAGGAATAGCTAAAATATATTCTAGCTAAAATGTATTCTGAAGCGCCGGCAGTTATAAAGGTGATGTGAATACGAGTCCTACGAAATGTTGAAATAACAAAGCTTGAGAACGTCTTATACTGACTAGCAACATGCCATATTCGCAGCTTATATACGTACGTGCCGTAGTTTATAGGAATTGAGTAACCTCCAAAAAATTTTAGTTACTTTCACCCCACTCGGGCTGCTCCCGTCACTAGTAAGTGGCATGACTCGTGAGAAACGGCAATATGAGAGACGTCCAATCATCTTAGAAAAATCCGGCGGATTCACTACAGGAGGAAGAATCATCGAAAGCTCAATCTTTCCTAATCAGACCCTCTCCTGTGATCATGGGTATATGGAATACTTCATCCCATGTTTAATTCGAACTCAAACATACATCTACAGTCTCAAGCCGCCGCCGCCGTCGCAGCAGACTCAGGCAAAGTCGGCGACAGCATCGTGTACCTCACCAACTCAGCAGCCGGACTACGTGCTCAGATGACGGTGGCTAAAAGCAACTCGACAAATATCAAGGGCATCGTCGCCTATTCAGTTCGTATGGGGGGACCACCGGAAAGAAACCTTTCCTTTCCTCCAGCAAACGAGACGGGCAGCCAAGCTCATTACCTTTATGGTGGGAATGCCAAGGTCTTCCTCCTATCCAAAGACGGGGGGCTCAGTGGAAATACCCACATCGCGTTCGCGGATATGAACAACGATGAAGTAGCCGACCTTCTAGATGAATTTCTCGAGGAGAATAATCTCGACGCTTACCAAGATGAGACCGACGAAAGTGTCAGCAATGCGATTCAAGAGTAATAGTAGTTAGATAGTGTTACCAAAGCCGTATAGTCTTAGTAGCAAATTCCCCTTAGCAAGCAAACTTCACCAAATAGAAATTCTCCCTCGCAGATGTCCTATAAATCCTGAGATCTTTATGATTTGACATGAGTTCAAGTATAGGAGCATGGCAAATTCCATTGAACCATTCATCAAAGTTACAGTATTAGCGCCATTAGCAAGTCAAAGCGACAATACTATTTTGCTATTATTATTTATTCCTAGTGAAAGAAAGGAATAATCTTCATCTAGGAGGTGTCTCACAACTGACTACTCACGTAGAAATACGATTAGTTATATAAGGTGCTAGAGATCTAAATGTATAACAGTGTTGATTCTAGTTGAGAGATCGCTCTATATAGTAGCCCAGCCGATTTTGTAATACGGTGAGCTAAGTCTATAAGTTGAGCTCCGTGACATAACTATTACGAGCCAGCGAGTATATGACCCGCTGCTGCAGTCCATCCAGTAACGAGATTCTGTCTTGCTGAAATAGCGCAATGGTACACTACGACAAGATAGAGGAATTTATTTATAGGAATATCTTGGGGTTTTCGAGACGAGTTGATCGTTTGTCTGTTGCCGACAGCGTTGTCAATTCTAAACGATCCAGTGGGAGGTAGGTATTTGTTCATGACGATTGAATAGTTAACGTCTAGAGAGACATAGGAACTATCTACCTGTTGGTCAAAGCCAGGCATTCTCTTTGAGTATAAGCTTGGAGATCATCTTGTCAGTGGGTCCTGTCTTAAATGTCTATCCCTTTATAAAACAAGCGTAGAAAGACGAGCCAATCATGATATAGACGAATTACCAATTGCAGTAATATCAACCCATATTATCCAGCAGATGTTTTAAGAGAAGCAGGTTCTCTTCGCTTTAGATTCGGAGGAGTTTGGTGGGAAGTATATGGTATTGTTTCGCGTATACTCCGCGTATACTGTCACCAACATGGAAAATACTTTTCCCAATATCCAAAATTAAAAGAAGAGAAGACAAGATTATTTTTCTAATTAGTTATACTATTCGGAGAGTAATAAAGCCACCTGATTTGTTCGAACTATTGTAGTGTAGGGACTGTACTATACTGGCTTGGGTAACAAATGCAATACATTCTATCAGTAACAAACGAGGGTTTCTCCTCAAGCCTTAAGTAAGTTCTCAGGCTGACTTGTAAGTAGGATTCAGGGTCTAATATACACCCATAACACAGGCTAGCCTAGTTGTAAAGGGTACTTTAGGTACGTTTGAAAAATGCAAAATAAACATTAACAAAGCAGAAACTCTTAATGACACATTTGATTCCGCCGACATGGTACGCCCTATCAGATACATTCCTTAGTCCATTTTATAATCAATTGTGCTTACTGCCTCCCGTCCAACACCTCGAGATGATTTAACTTGTTACCTACTGCCACTACCGCGACTGTCTGTTTTTATCCTACACTGCTTTCCCTTCCTTCCTCAAGCAGCTACCTACACCTAAACACCAGCAACGGCACCAAGCGCAAGCCCAGTAATCGCTGCAGCAACCACCCACACGCTGCTCCAAGCCGCCGCACCAGGCGTCTCAACGCCCTTAATCGTGAAGCGCGTCTGGACGAACGTATCCGCGCCCGTAATCAACATCAGCAGCACCGTGCGCTGGATCAGGACCTTGGTCTGCGCGCTCCAGCCCCAGAAATTCCACCACACCGTCTCGCCAAGACTCGCGTTAACTGGATCGAACGGCTTGTCCTTAGCTGAGGCCGTTGCTGAGGCAGGCGTGAATATGAAGGCGCGCGCTGCGAATCCTAGAACGAGCGTTACGGGGAGTAGGCCGACGTAGGTGGTTTCGTGTGCGGGCGCGATGGACGGTAGGTCGGTGAAGTACACGACTAGGTATGTTGGTAGGTACATGGCGTATGCGAAGAACAGCGTCACGCTATATATAGCGCCTGCGAGGAGCGTGGTGAGCAGCACGATGGGCCGGTCCGTAACGATGTCTGCGTTGGGCGCATGGCTGGGGTCGGCGTGGACCGTGGAAAGCGGACGTAGAAGGCGGAAGGGGATGTATGTCGCGAGGGTCTCGATGACGAGTGTTAGGAGAAGGGCGCTGGTAGGCACATCGTAGAAGGTATTTAGGAGATAGAGCTGTTGTCACCGTTAGGATTATGTATATACTTTGTCGTGCTGGTGATTCAATCAACTTACGAGAGGACCGTGGGATAGGAGGTTCAACGCTGTAATATCGTAGCCGTCGTAGTTACCGAACCAACACAGCGCGAGTTCAAACCTGTGAGAAAACACGGTGAGTAAAAGTGTTATTGGAATTACGTCATGGACAATTTTTTTTAAAAACCAAATACGCGCCGTCGTAAGTTGGGATACTGATAAAATGTTACTTACACTCGCCATCCCGTAACAATTCCGACATCATCCCAAGTAGTCAGTAGCCTCGCGTGCGGCGCTATCGGACCCTTGGTGTATCGCCACGTTAACGAGTAGCCCACCGCCGCGAGCGACAAGCTCAGAATAGTAACTAGCGGGAACTGAATCAGCTTAGGTAGCTTAGACGGTGTGCTACTGGGACGAGTAATTTCGCGCTTCGAAGGTGAGATTGTCGGAGTCTCGATCTTGGTGATAGATACCACCGTTGGCCTTGCCTCAGCCGCAATTTCTTCCTCACGAGTCTGTTTCCTAGTCCGCATTTTGCCTTGTTTGTCTGTTTGCACCGTAAAGATTTTGCAACTATTTATCTACTATCAGAAGGGGAAAAAAATATTAAGAAAATTCCCCGGAAAGAAAAAGAAAAAGTATGCGCCTTGCAGAGATCCAAGCTTGATGCGCTCACGTGCTAGGTATAAAAGAAATTGAAATTGAAGCTGACCAGAAATTGTCGCGATTATTTACGAGTGTAGGTTATGTACCTGATTTGAGGCAGTAGCCTTTTAAGGCTACATGTACTATAAATGGTGGGGGGTGGATGCGCGACCTAACATTGGGGAAAGCAGCAACTACCTCATGTACCTACCTAACGGTTAGCACCAGTGACGTCTCCGAACGACTCTTCGTCAAGTCTCCCTGCCAAAGTATTCCCTAAAGTAGGTATTCCTACTAATAACCCCACAACCGGGCTGATCGACAACAAACCACGCTTCTCAAAAGGAACCTAGGTTCTCGATACTCCATCTTTGAGATTTTCTTCTCTTATTCTCGGGTTCTCCTCTTTTTGAACTTATTCCGTGTGAGTTGTTAGGCAACCATCGCTAAACTTCTCATATTTTCTATTGCCCAGCCAGTTCCGTTTACAACCTCCTATACCAACCTGCATTCACATGCAGATCATCAAAATCACTGGCATCATGACTCCGCAGCTCCGCTACCTGAAGTATAGCTACCTAGGTTTGGCAATAGTAAATCTCGGAATCCTATTTATCAATTAAAAACCCCCAACTATATTCTTGGTCAAGTATATTCTAGTAAGTCAAAAATTTCGTTTGAATTGGTATTCATTCATGGTAAACAAATGGGTGTCATCGGCCCTGTTAATAGACATCACACGCCTTGCCTAATGAAATCCACACTTTCCCTACGGTTTCGACAGGTTGGGTGTTCGCTCGACGCTTTTCTCCGATCCTCACTTTAACCTCTTGGAGCATGCCTTAGAGTATTCGTACCTAGAGCCCCCCATTCTTCGGTGCTGAGATTTCGGCAGCGGAGCGGAACCACCTCGTTTACAGAAGTTGATATATGTGACACAAAGGAAACAACCAGAGCCATTTATCGTTTCGTGCCGTCTCTCTAATGAGCGAGCGGGCGAGCGATCTCAAGTTTAATCCTCCATACGGCCAAACATCATATCATCGTCTTCCTCGCTGCTGCGCGCCCTAAACCGTCCTTCGCCTTCGTCTTCATCCATTATGCTACTTTCACTATCTTCCATCTTCACGTCCTCGGTATGCCGGAGCTCACCCCGGGTAAAACTTTCCGGCATCTGCCCTGATGGAAAGCTGTTGATAAAACTCGTACTGGTAAAAGCTGCGTGATCGAGATACTGGGCAGGTAGCGGTGGTACGGGAGGAGCATCGTCAGGGAGCCTAGAATCTCGGGTCCCTCCGTTGCTACCGAAGCTGCAGCTGAGTAACTCGATGGCTGTCGCAAGATCACGATCATCTTGGCCAGTGCTGTTCATTCCTGAAGAAGGGGGGCGCCGGTCCGAACTAGCATGACGAGCGTGACCGAATCCATTCCCGTTTGGTACGCTACCTGAGAAGAACGAACCCGAAACGGCCGACTGGTACGATCGCGCAAAGCTACTCCCATTGCTGTCCCTCTTGGAAGCCGTACGATAAGCAAAAGAATTCATAGCACTAAAAGCGTCCAAATGCGGAGGTGGGGTGGTGTCGGCTGAACTACGACCATCGTGGAGGTCTGAGTACCCAGAGGCGGTGGGAGAAGCGGATTCGGGGTCGCTGGCAAAGTCTTTGGTAGAGTCTGGAGGAGTGGCTGCCTCCGTGTTCATGGCGACAAGAACTGAGGCCGCTTCGAGCAGTTGAACTTGTTGGTGCTTGGATATAAGCAGCTTGGACGTGAGAGACCACTCGGGAGTATGTTCCCACCTGGCAAGCAATTCGTCAACAAAAGTCCACGTTCATTTACTCAGGGCTTAAGGGTCTCGGCCAGTCCATGCTTGCCCCGGGGGGCAGGGAGATACTCTATCCACAGGCCTGGGCAAGTGAATGCATAAGGGAGGCAGTGGGCAAGAAAATGGGCACCAACAAATGCTTGGTCAAGCAGCTGCTATGCTTGTATCCTTTCCCGCACTTGTCGCAGCGGAGTTCAATTCGGTTGCTCTTCCTACCCTCTTTTGTTAGCGGCTGACCATCGCTCGCCCGTCGCATGCGAGCTTTCTGGGGACCCGCTTCCCCCTCATCGGCGGACATGTCGTTCGAGGAGTCATCGATAGCGTTTTCTGGGCCCTCGGATTTCAAATTCATCGAGAATCTATGGGTTGGCAAGCTAGCAGGTGGAGAAGGTAAGCTGCCCACGATTGGAGGTCGGGCGGTGGCAGGCTTGGACATGGTACCGCGGCGGGAATTGACAGCAATAGGTAATGGTCCAACCTTATCCCCTGCTTCTTCGAGAGCGGCCGCGACAGCCGCGACGTTGGCAGCAGTGCCGGTCATGCTCTTCCGACGTGTTACGCGGTGGGTGGCATTGAGGGCGCCGGACAAAGCGGAGTATGTGTGGGAGTTGTTGCGTGAATGGGATAATGGTCTTGAAGCGCCTAAGGAAGACGCCGAGGTAGAAGAAATCGATTGACGGTGCTGGTTCAATGGCCTCGTTGGTGTTTGCATTTCCTGGAGTGATAGACACAAGTGATCAGCATGACTATCCTAGTGTCGGGGGCGGGCTAAGCAGGCAAGGTAGGTAAAAAGGCAAGGTGAAGTAGGTTAGTGCAATTTGTTAGTTACCTTGGAAGAGGCCATTGCCGACCACGTTAGAGAGTAGAACAACAAAATGATCGTCTCGAGTATTTATTTATCTTTTTTTTTCTTGCTACAGCTCGTGTCTTACCGGGTGAAGAATGATACAAAAATGGACAAGAAAGAGGGAGCAAAAAGCAAAGCAAGAGGTGTTCGTCGGCAATGGTGGGTGGATTAGGAGAAGTATTGGCTGGATTAGGATCTGATGGTGGAGGGCGGATGCTGGGAAAAGAAAAAGCCGTCTGATGATCTGTAATAATAATATTTTTTTCTTTAACCCCTTGAGAATTGAAGAAGGAACAAAGATCAGTCCATTGCACAAAAAATATTTTTTATGGATTTCAAGTACGGATAGATAATAATGTAGGAACGTTTAGGCAGGTACGGACAAGACAGTACAGTACAGAGATACAGATACAGAGATACCAAGATACATCGGCGGTTCGTCAGGTGGTTAAATATGTACCTAGGTAGGTAATGTAATATACATAAGGTAGGAAATGGGCTTTAGGACTGCGCCTTCGTTTAGCTGCTTATTACCTTCTCTGGCCTAATAGACTATGCTCCTTCGAAGTATTATGGTATTATTGTAAGTACGCTAAGTAGACGAAAGCTGCTAATTATGCTAGGTATGTTAGAGAAAGTGTATTAAAAGTTGGGCGTGTGCCATGTGGTATGTTGAATGGTGTGGTACCTAGTGATTATGGTGGGCTCAAATGGGCTCCAAGTTGTTCAATTCCCCCCTCCCCTCCCCCATTCATCATTCGGCCCCCCCCATCTCTTTCCCCGTCCTATCTTTCTAAGTGGAATCCACAAGAGCATATTGGAGGTTTGGAAAGAATACCTCTATGTACCTACCTACATAGGATGTAGTACTTGCCTAGTATGTATAAGATATCCATACAACATAAATGTTACGCACGCGCTGCACGATAAGTTAGGTGCATACATAACATACATGTAGTTAGCGCGGCCCCCTGTGCTAGTTGGACAAGCTTCAACAATCCAGGTCAGGGTTCTGTCAGGCACAACTTCAAACTTGGAAACAAGTCGGAGCGGCATAAAAAAGGGTACAGACACAAACCTGCTTGACGAATTGTTAGTCAAGGCAGCATAGTAGAGACCATTGGATTGGATTGGACACGAGAAGATGAGCAATTCCATCTGAATGCGTCTGAGCTGTAACGACAGGTGGAAAACGACCAAATCATTACGATCAAGCTTGTATCTGCCAGTCAAGCGGATGGACATGGGGGACGCAGACGCTGCTCAACATAAATCAATTGAGGGAACCCCCTTTTGAATTAGTGACTACTTCACATATTCAGAGATAGAAATGGCCGATTTCGAAAGGTAGCCTGCGTCAGGATAGATCTATCGCCATGTGTCTGAAATAGGACGGAAGTAGGAATTCAACTGCCTAGTCTGTACATTCCTATTCGCACGTGGATAGTTCCAATGCTCGAATGGCAGCTGGTGTGCTTCCCTGGCCCTGGTGCCCTGCATATTCCTATGTCTGGTAAAAGATAGCGGAGCCGGACAAATACATAACACGCGGCTTTCCAACTCCCATCGGAGTCTTCAAGAGAGACAAGTTATCTTGCGATTACGAGCAATACGCAGTCGCGTACTACACTGCGTATGCGGAATTTGCCTATCATCAGGCGACAGCAATAATCCGTCGTGCACATCTTGATTAACAAGTGGCAGTATAACGTGGCATATCATACTTGTTATTCGCGAACAACTCTACGAAGAAATAGGACATCTACATATGTGTACATAGCAATGCCGACCTGATGATTTATCATTCGTCCGTCGGAATTAGATAATAATATTGTTGGAGTAACAAGTAACACCCTACAAGAGGTTTAGTCCAACGAGGGGGTACGCGCAATAAAAAGGAGGAGGGAAACAAGGGGGTAACCAGTTACCTACCTTTATGTACCTACATAGATAGATACCCATAAACACACCCCCTAAGGAGGTATTTCTATATTATCTAAACTGGAGCTGCTAGCGTACGGACGCTACGAATTCCTGCAAGCCGAATCAGCTATTCGAATAGGCAGTCAATCTACTTATACTTAAGCGTAGAATAAAAATTGATGTTTTAGAAAGGTATTAGCAAAGGATATCTCCTTCGATAAAGATAAGTGTATGAAGTACTCCTTATGGTTGGTAACAACATGACCTTGGACTGCTTGTGACCGGTCCGGGTCTATAAATTGACCAAGGACCATAGACTTCGACCCCGGACTGCGCGGATCAACGCTACGATCGTAGGCGCGTCACCTGGCGGGTAGGGTTCACCCCCTGACAGTTCCTAACATCTCCATATGTAATTAAGCTGCTAAGAATATCTGGCTATGTGTGCGGTATTTCGTATTCTGCCTGTTTTGTTTCAAAGAATCCTTCTGTCTCCGGCTGTCAAACAAGTCTGATCTTACATTTTGCTTATCCCCGTTTAGTAAGCGCTATGAAGAAAATATACAAATGCATAATTACCTAGGTGCCTACATAAAGTCTAATAGACGCTTGAGATGCGGTCCCCGTCATAAAAGCTTCAAATAATTATGGAAGTTAAAGGAGGGGTCAGCCCAACATACATTAGTACCGGTTACGCAGCATGAAACTAAGGTCCACGCTAAGTGCTAAACATGTTAAAACACAGTGCTATAGCATTCTCCTTACAGTAGGTTATAGCTTCAGCCGTAACATACAAGACTACAAGTATCGAAAGCATTAACTACCTCGAACTACATGTACATACTTAACAATATTGCTCTTACACCAATAAGAAATACCAATTCGATATTAAAGACAAGGACGAATTTAATAGCTCCCCGTGGTCACGAATCTAGCCGGCTTAGCAATAATAGATCTTCATTTATGCTTTGCTGAATGGATATGTTTCTTAAGAGAAAAAAATAAAGCCCACGAGATCAGCGAGGCCTTTCCGGATGCAGGTACTTTCGTGCATGGGGTTCTCGTGCCGGCAGGTGGTGGAATTTGGAGAAACAGAAGAGGTTCACTATGCTCACGCCTCAGCCGTGTCTTCTTACGCCATTCTTCCCAAGTCCGTTTCATTGGATAGTGATGATGTACATACTACATATACATACTACATACACAGATGCGCATTAGAATACCTAATCTACGGTGCCAGTGGCTTATGCTATGCAAGAAGCAGCAAGTACGTGTCTATCAAATCAACTCTATCAATTTTACCCAAGCTCTTCTACGGGCTTCCAACATGCTCCTTAAATGAGACACTGCTCAGCAACACGACTGGACGATACTCTCCAACACAGATAAAGCAAGGGAGAATATACTTAAATATACTTAAAGTCTAACCAGAGAGATCCAGAGTACCTAATGTAGGTAGACTCGGATTTTTTCTAAGTCCAGCTCCTTGGACACAAAAGCGGCCAAGGAATCCAGTGGTCTAGACCACTAGAGATGCATACCAAACATTTGCTTATGTACGTCTCGGTATAATCTTCGTCGAGACGAAAAAAAAAAAAACATTCGCAAGTTTCTAGATCATGGTTCGTCTTCTCTTTCCTAAGTGAGCCGTAGCGTCCGCCACCGTGACAGTCCATTCGTTTTCGACTCGAACCAGCTGGCGCGGGGTCTACCATCTGAGCTCTCTTGCCACAGACTAGGCATTGAAAGGGTATCTTAGCAGAATCATGGATTAAGGCATCAGCATTATAGCCTTTTCCCCCTTTGTTATATACTTCGATCCGCCTGATTCGTTATCTTAATTTTCATTCATAGTCCACGATAAATCTCATCATTAGCCAATGGGGTGTGTCATACTCCACGGCCGGCGATAGGACATGGTGCTACGCACTATACTTTTAAAAGTCTGGAAATTTATTGTTAGTCAAGCTATCTAGTTGGGCTCCTATCTCTATCCTGATTTGATATACTGGGCAGAGACCGCGGTTGAATGGGTAAGCTCGCCACATACTACACCAAGGCCTTTTTCAATTTATAGTCTTAAAATCTAGTGTATTAAACCCTAATTCACACACAACGGACGGCGGGCTTAATATCTCGAGTAATAGTTGGTACTGCTAGTGCGTCCGGCAAAACGGAGACCGCCGACTCGATCGTTTTACATAGTGTTAATTCCGTACCTATTCTATTCGCCACAATGAGTCAACTTAGCGATGAAGGAAAGGCTTTAGGGCTAACGACTCTCAAGTTTAGTAGCCTATTATTGGTCTATAATACGCTTGCCACATCGAATGTTTGCTTCAAGACAGAAAAATGGTTTGAATAATTTTTCTAGCATTATTCAAAGTGATCAGCTAAGCATGATCATACTTCCGTATGATATATCATAGGTATCGCAGACTTCGAATATCAAGTGACTCCAAGAACCCATACTATACCTTATTGGGATGACGCCAAAGCAGCAGCAGCAGCTGACAACGCCTCGCGAGTAAGGAGATACATGTACTTTCGATAACGCAGGCGAGAAAGGCGTTCCAGGTTGTTTCGCTATTCCAACTTGTCTGCTTGTCTGCCTGTCAGCTTGCCAAACTTGCTGGTTTGAGACAACCCCTGACAAAAGACCCAGAAGCCAACAATGTTAACGAGGATACCTAATACGAGCTGTAATAAATTCAAAAGCTAACAGTTTCGAGAACTGTCGATCAAAAGATCAACGCCGCCTTACCCGTCAACCCGGCTGCGCATCACTTCACTAAGATTGACGTCGGCGCTCGGAACCACATATACATAGGTAGAAATAACTAATTATGAGTTTGCTCAGCCAAACATATTCGAACCCGTTCAAAAGAACCCGGATGTCTGGGTTCGGGACCCTTGATCTTAGTACGTACCTACATACGGGCCAGCATGCATATAGATAGATACATACATACATACATTACATGTTGTCGCCGCTCTATTCGACCAGACGCAGGTACGAGCATACTATGAACGCCCGGGCGGAGCCCGTAAGGCTTGGTGCCTGAATTTTGTCCACCCGAAGGTGTCGTGTATGCCCGCCGAGGTGTTCTTTGAGTGCATGCTGACTGATGTATCATTTATAATATATAATAATACTGATAGAACTCTCACTTAAATCCACTTTCACACAAGACCGGCTTACCACTACAAATAACAGATGAATAATACCGATAGGAAACCTTTGTCTACACAGTATACATCAATCTATCAAGCCTCTTTATTTTTTATTTAGGTTTAGAACCCGCGAACAAACTCGATAGACCCTGGATACATACAAGCGTCTTATACATACGAACTTGGAAGAGGAAGGTCATGTTAGTTCGATGTAATGCCCCTCCATGACGTCGTTTTCTACCGGAAATTCCATTAGGTTAAAGGAGGTTGCACAAGGCAGTAGTCACACAATGTAGGCAGCCGCACCCAGCAAGTTGGAACATTGAATTCCATCATCATCATCATCATATATCAGGTGTACGTACTCATTTTTCACTCCTACAACAATAACAACAAAACAACTTCGCTTCCAATACGGACTCAAGATTTGCCGTGTCACGATCACGAGCAATACTCTTTAAGCGCGCAGGTTTTTTTTGATTACTATCACCCCGCATCCATTTAGGCGCGCGGTCGATTTTAATTACTTGCTCATATACGCACGCACACATACACACACCTCAGCGTCTATTAGCCATCTTCGTACATACGCCGAGTTTGACGTCCGATCTCGAATACCACCTGAATGAAGTAACTGTGAGATTACTAGTATAGACGGAACAAGTACCCAAAGAAGCAATATACACCAACTACACACATACCTATCTTGCATATATCTACGCACGATGGCGGATACTGTATATCGTCGTAGCGGGCGGGGCGGCGCCGGCAACTTCTACTCGCAAAAAGATATCGAAGAGGCAACTGGGAGGAACTCTGAGGTACGCCAGATCTCTCAAAGCCCCACGTGAGGTAAATAAGTAAGTAAGTAAGTAAGCGGCCTTGACTAAGAAAGCCATCCGTAGGATCTCGAGGCGCAGAAATCGCAACCGCTTGCCGATGATGAACCGCTGACCGACCCAGCCGATGGCCCAGCGCAACCCGTTGCGGTCCCCATCGTGGGCTCTACTACCAGCGGTGTAAGGATCGGCAGGGGCGGCGCTGGAAATTTCGTCGACGTTCCTTCGTCATCTATAGCCACGACCGCCCCCGCCACCAAATCTACCACTCATGCTTCAAACCCCCAAGACCAGTCGCATCCACAGTCTCCGCCGACGTCGCCGCGCCGCGGGGGTGCGCTCTCGGGCCGTGGGGGCGCAGGAAACTGGACGTCTGAGCATGGAGAATTCGAGCCGTACGACCAAGAACAGGAGCGCAAACGCCGCGAAGCTCTCGATGCGCACATCTTACAGGATATACGAGACTCGCTGCCGCAGCCGCCCAAGATCCACTATATGCATGGCCCGGGTCGGGGACGGAAGCCGGATCTGCCTGTCTAGCCGGGCTGAATAATAGATGTCGTTAATAATTGCGATATGGAAGAGATAGCTATTCTATCTAAAGTCTCAGAGTTGGGACCAAGGATATCACTCGCGAATGAGATGGATAAACCCTTTGAAGACCAACGCCGTTAAGAGCTTACATACCATCTAGAACATCTACATCTACATTACCAGTAATGATAATCATAATACGCAACATAGCAAACAATTAGCAAGAAAGTAACATTTATATTCAATCACGAAATACAGCACAGGCAATGAATAAGTCCGGCACTGATGCATCATCTTCTCATAGCGAACTGTGCAGGTCAAAAGTGTTTCATTTCGTGGAAAGGAAAGGAATCAGAATCCTAGAATCCGCCAACGCCAGGGCATGCAGAAGAAACGAAACAACCCATACACACATGAACGCCACTGTCCGTGATTTCTTTTTTGGGCATCCCCCATCGTCCAACAACTCTTGTTGTAGCAGTAGTAGTAGTAGTTTTTCCCGCCTTCCTCTCCCATCGTAGATACACCTCCCTTTCGTGCGAGTGCAAATGTGATCGCGAATATTACAATCAAGCTCGCTTACTCGGAATCCACATCCATACCACTCTCGTCTTCTCCCATGACTTCCACGCCTCCGTCGACACGCACCCTCTGGCGTATCTTCTCCTTGCCAAACACCCTCGCGCTCTTCTTCTCCGCAACCCCCGCGGCATTGCGCTCCAGCTCCTCGATCTCCTCGGGCTGCAGCCCCTGCTCCTCGGCGAGCCTCCTCTTCTCGCTGCCCCGGAGGCGCGGCAGCAGGTGCGCGTGGGTCTGGACCAGCTTGCGGTCCGTGGCGAGGTCCTGGGCGCGCTTGCCGGCGCGGCGGCGCTTGGCGAAGACGCGCTCGCGCTTCGCCCGGATCTCGGAGACGCGGTCCATGGCGCGCAGCGTCTTCTGGACGAGCTCGCGGTCGTAGCGCACGGGCACGTTGCGGCGGGCCGCGAACTGGAGCGTCGAGTCGACTGTCATTTCCTTGCCGGCCGCGCGCCGGAAGGCCTTGGTCCATTTCAGCTTGCGCGGGTTACGCTTCATGACGAAGTTCTTGTGGCATTTGCTGCGGCAGAAGCGGAACTGCTTGGCGTCGTTACGGCAGAATGTCTATTGGGGGGGAAGAGGAGGTTAGGATAACGGTTCTAGCTTGAGAAGAGTATGGGAGGGAAGGACTCACGATTCCCTTGCTTGGGTAAGCAGGTCTACTGCAGAAGTAGCACGTCTCGATCCTGCAGAACGTCTAGTTAGTAAATACGACCTCTGTATTTCGCGTACAAGCCGAGATTAGGCTTCGAGCTCGCAATAGTAATTAAAGACTTTGGTAGCCCGGTATGGGCCATGAAGTATTTGAATAGCTATAGAGCCAGAGAGAAATTCCCAAAATAAAATACGTTAGTACTAACCTCATCTTGACGGCGGACGAGTCTCGAGCTTAGGGAGCAGACTTCGTTGACGATGTTGGGTGGTTTATGAATTCGGGATAGAGAAGTATTTCGTGGCGCCCCTCCGAAAACTTCACACCGAAATTTTGGTGGGTCCTCTGGCCTTTATCAGGTCGATAGGCATGGATTAACTTTAACGCCGCATGTAGCCTTCAACCTGCCTCCCCGGCATTCGGTGTGTTCTTATCGATAACTGTCCGCGGCGAATCTATCCCGAGGTCCGTGCACGTCGAAAAAGAATCATTGCGACATTCCACGGATCGGCATCGTATTTCAATTTCCTACTTGTTCGCACGATCAATTGTCAACATGGCCTCAGCCCTCGCTATCGGAACAGGTGTCGCGGCCGCTGCCTTTCTTGTACGCATACCCCATATCTTCTCCCTACGCATATAAACTAACGTAGAGAAAACCAGGGCCGCGCAGGACTCGTCGCATGGCGGCGCTCTCGGGGAGGCGTCGGAGCGCTGGGCAAAGCATTTTACAAAGGCGGTTTCGAGCCGCGCATGACCAAGAAAGAAGCTACTCTAATACTGTCTCTCAAGTACGAACTTCTGCCCTTGATTCTACGACAATAACAGCCTTGTCTAACAAAATTGTGTGTTAGTGAACGAGCCATCACGAAGGAGAAAGTCCGAAAGGCCCACCGGACGCTCATGCTTCTCAATCACCCCGATCGAGGCGGAAGCCCTTATTTAGCTACCAAAGTCAACGAAGCAAAAGAATTCTTGGAAAAGAATAGTTAGCACCGAACTAATTTAACGAGACATATGACTTGTGCGGTGGCGATGATTGTGCCTCTGTTACAAAATGTATAATACCGTAGCATCCACGGAGCGAGGGCGTTCACGGCATGACTTGGAAGGGGTTTTATTGCATTGGGCTGCGCATCGATTGTATTCTTATTTAGTGTCAATACCGATCTATCTCGGGGCGAAGTCTCTTCTCAACTGCTTTTTTTCGAAATGGACTGATGGCTGTTGTGAACTTTCCTATAAGCACCTAGGAACAGATCGTTTCTTAAGAGTCTAGCGGGGCCGTGGATATCAGCCCATCATATACTTCGGGAGCTATTCAGCTGACTTTTGAGGCGGACCTCCGTCGTCCATTATACCATCGCTCCATTCATCCTCCCTGTATAATGGTTGAGGAGTTAGCAATGGCACGATAAGCGAATTCGTAGTGAATATAGACTTACTCTGATTCATTAGAGTTTTCTTCTTTCTGCCCCCCGGAGTTACTCATCATCTGCCTGACCGCGATAACAATCATAGCGCGCAGCGTATATGTTGCATCGTTGCCCGCGTTGTGGAAATTCCTACATACCATCCCTAAACTTTCGCAAAGAGTTTTGAGACCACGACCGTCAGACGTTCTTTCTAGGTGCTGAAACATCGACCTCGTATCCATCTCGTCTATAAATTGTGGCGCCTGCCAGATATTATATCCGAGTTTCTTGAGGTAACTTAAGTCTTGGCAGACGGCGTGTCCTACCATGATAACTGGTCTTTGATCCGGAGACAATGAGTCTCCGATAATCTTGCCAATTACCCTACCAATTTCATTTTCGCCAATAAATTCGAAATCGCTATAACACGTAAGCTTAGCTCTTCGTTCGAGGTTAAGAGACCATACCCAAAGTTGAATTGTTCAGGACACCCGTGGACATATTTATAGTTTATCTTATACTTATGCTCTTCAATTATGAAGTGGTGTGACTTAATCAACGGGAACCATCCGTAGCCATCTCTACCAGGAGGAACATTTATGGTGTCTTGAGTGTCAAGGATTGCTAGGCCCACTTCTGTGATTACGTTGGTCGATTGCTCCCATGCCTCGATGTCAACGGAGACAAATCGTATAGAGCTTTCTGCTTTAAAGGGGACTGGCATATCCACGTTCCAATCTGTGGCCGTAATATCTAAACAGTCAGCCCCTCTGGACACGGTTGCTTGTGTGATAGAGACACTAACCTAAGCTAGGTGGATATCCGGGGCGGCCTCGAAGCCCGAGGTATCTCTGTGCTCGCTTGGTCATACGTCCGTAACCCTTCTGACGCTCGATCTTTCTCCGGGTCGCTGCTGCCTCCGCTTCTGCCTTATCCTTGACCGGATTTAATGATTTATACAACTTATCCATCTTCACTCTATAGTTTTGCAGGGCAGCGGTGCTAAGATGAGCCAAATCATCTATAGGTAGTCTGTGAGTACGGAGCTTAAGCTCGCAGACAGCAGCAGAAGTACTAGCGCGGCCTAGGAAGCGAGGAAGAGGCGTGTCCCAATCTCCGAAGGTGGCGAAGAAGTTCTCACCGGCCTCGCCCTTTGGGATGCCGAGTTGTAATTTCAGACGGGAGTTAACATGCTTTAGATATTCCACGAATTGGGCGCTGGGGACCAGCAGAAGAGGATTTCTGCCAGTTTTACCAGGGTCCAGCAGACCGAACCTACAGGGAAGTTAGCATATCCAAATGTTCTCCTTGTATATGGTGTGGTAATAAAGGGGCGTACATACAAATCCCAGATGCGATTTTCGAATAGCATCGAGGTATAGAGCTTTAGCATCTAGATCTAAATGAGTTACTTCTCCGATAACCTACAAGTAGCACTCTTACCTCTTCTTGAATATCCTGACCGGCGAACCGATAGGGATAAGATTGGACGAGCCTCCAGGGACAAAACGTCTGACCCTTTAAAGATTGGTCCCCCATAGTCATGTCTTGAAAGGTGTCCATCTTGTTCACCTACGGTTGAGGAATACCTCGTTAGCTTGAAAAAGTAAACAAGGACATAGAATAGCGTACTTGATTTCTTAGGCGTAACTTCTTCATGGACGACTTTAGTAAATAGTCATTGCTAGCTTTTACTGTTAAATTTGTCGGTAAATTTGATAGGCGCAGTTGGCATTGAATTGGGTAAGTTTGTCTCCATGTTCTACAGGGCCCCTAGGTGTTGTGTTAGATCAGTTCGGGCACATTGCGTGGGTGTCTTGTGGGTGTCTTGTGGGTGTTTGCAAGGAGCGGAAGGATCAAATAATAAGTTGAGGTATTCTTTCTCTTTCTCTTTCCTTTACACCGTACTTACCTGTTTCCTAATGGGGCTGACTGCGCGTGTTGGGTAGAGGCGTGACCACATCCGCAATTGCACCTATGTACATGTATTCAGATCGTACCTTACTTATAACAATCGGCATGTTGTTTGTTAGATGGTCCTACATGTAATCCGTAGATACATGTAGTAAAAATTTAATTGGTAGGTGCATGCATTACGTAAGCATGCGCCGTATTCAGGAAGCACATCTACTGTAACAAACTTATAACATAGAATGCTTGTTTGTAAATCATCGCGTAGTACACTTTTAGACGATTAACCATACATATGTATAATGCAACTAGTCAAATTTCCATCTACCAAGCCATGGTGGCTCAATACCTTAGGTATAGGTACATGTACCTAAGGTAGTCATAAGAATTATAAGGCAGCGTAAATAATATTCTCCCCTTTAATGTAGTTCTGATCTTCCACCCACGCCCAACGAACTATAACCTCCCTAATTCATATATTCATCCAAGTTTATCCGAAGCTCCGGGATTTCAGGGAAACCGTCCTGCATGTTGCCATCCAGAGATTTGGCAAACCCGCCAATGATGCGTTTAGAGACATCTAACAACATAGGTAGTTTTTGGAAGTGTCTTAGGGATGTGCTGAACTTGAGAGGACAGCTGTCCCTGATAACCGACCGAGATGATCACAGGTTAAAGTCCCGAGGGTGCCGTACTATCACCACGAGGAAATATGCGTTGATGAATCGGATTAGAAGTGCTGATATACTGATGGTCAAGTCCTTCGGAAGCATGTAGATGTCAGTTACGAAAGATCTACTTGCCTGGAAAATAATGTTGCATGAAGATACTCACAAGAGGTTGGAGACTTGAACGTTGGTGATTGTACTTAGGCAAGGTCAGAGTAGCCGGGTCGATGATTCTCATGTTGAATCGTTCTAGCCTCTTGCCATTCGGGGACATGCCACTTACGGGTTTCCGAGCTGAATGTGCTCATCCTAAGATATAAGAAAGAGCTTTACTATTACCTAAGGTATCCAAGGTTATTGAGGTAGACAAGGTATTTCGATATCACATGCTCGCTATAACTTCCAAGTAATAGGTCTATGTATCTACAATCCTATGCTATCTTAGGTACGTATCTGACCGTGCAGCCCCTGGATTGCCTACCACTTCTCTTGTGCTGAACCCTAATATCACCACCGAATTTCTAGGCACGACATGTTCGACGGGGTATTTTTCCTGAATTTCCCATGGCACATTTGGGATGTTGTTTTATAATTATCGAAGGGCTTTTTGTTAGTTACAAGGCTTGGGCAAGTACTACATTCCCTCCTCGTCTTCATGTGACACTGCTGACATGTAAATGCCTACTTCCTACAAGCAAAAGCTCCGGACTCTCTTACATGCCTGACTGTATTATGGAATTTAAATGTCATAACGAGCATTACTTCTTGAAGAACTAGGGAGATAATTAGTAAGGGGCTGAATAAATGCGTGCTAAAAATGTCACATACCTCTGCGGCTTCCTCAGGGGTTATGTTAGACGGCTCAGAGAGGCTCTGGTCGATCAGGCCCAACGAGGCTTTAGCCCCTTTCATTTGCCACCAGAGCTCTCTCCTATCACCGCCAAGCTCGCCCGAAAGCAGACGATTCTTCAAATCCTTCAAGAACGAGTTGTACAGGGCTGGCATCTCCCACTTGACCATCGTATCCCTGAACACGCCGAGATTTTCTATGGCGCGATCGTACCCGCTATCTCCCAAGCTGTTCGTGATAAGTGAACGAATAATAGTACCCATCTGCTTCGCAGCGCTCTCAATCTCGGACTCCTCGTTGGCGTATTCAACCATCTGCTTGAACTCGGGAATGGCATTTTCAGAGTCAATCTTCTTGCGCTTATTTTGGGGCTGGTTGAGGAGTGCATCGATATCAAGACCCGAAATAGGCTCGGGCTTGGCTCCCTTTTCTCGCCTCCCTTTCGCTTTGGGTGGCACTTCACGAACGTTAGTAAAAATATACAAAGGCTTTAAGCTAGAGTTAACAATACCTTTCTTGACATTAGCTTCGGCTATGAGATCTTCAAGTTTTGATCTAGCCTTGACTACTAAATCTTCAGGCGGATTCGAATATTTGAGTAGAATGGGAGCAACTGGGGGAAGCGGCTGGTCTGCATAGATTGCTCGGTGTCGGACGACCTGATTAATACGGTGAAGCGGAGGACAAAATACATCCTCAACGGGAGCGTATTCCATAGTGCGGTTACTTAGCACTGTTAGCTTTTGTACCCTCCTTATCGATTTATAATACTCACCCGTCATCATCTTTGGCCCAGCTTGAGATATCCATAGCGTCCACGTAGTCATCCATGGCATCTGATAGCTCCTGACTAGGCAGAAGCCGATGGTCTTCGTGCTTGATATTTCCAGTGACCGTAATCACCTTATCAAGCGGGGGGAACTGGTAGTTTCTGACATCTTCGGCAAACGGCAAGGGCACGTCGTATAAACACTCGAAGTCAGGTTCGATGTGAGGCGCAAGTAGAATGAGAGATGGCTCCTTTCCGTCCTTCGTTACGATCCGTGCTACTGCATAAGACTCAAGTTCCTGAAGGGAGTGTATGAACGATGAGAGCTTGAGCGCGGCCATGTCATTGAATTTCTGGGGAATCGTCTGACCTGTCTCACCCATGTTGAAGAATGGCTCATACTAGAGGTGTTAGCGTATGAAGAAACTCGAGCTCGAGAAGCTAAGTTTATTTACCTTCTCCTGATGTATAAATCCTAGGATGGTGAAACATTTCGTGGTCTCAAGCTTGGTAATATTGTATTCGGATTCGCTGATATGAACGGCCGTCCTCCCGTATTCATACCCCTTTGCTAACGATTCGAACTCGACATCCCGTTTACCTCCTGGCGCATCGGGGTCGTTGACCTTATATGTCCGAGCATTTTTCACCGCAGAAAATCCGCTTGTGAATTCCACACCTTCCATTTGGTCACCTTCGGCAGCTTGAGACGGACTAGGCTCGGTCTTGAGTACTACTCGACTGGCCGCCGGTACCGTCGCCTTGTGCGTCTTGAAGTACCGCTCCACGCTAATGCTCATAGCATCTGGGTGTTCCTGGGGATTTCCGAGGGTGAGTTCCCCATCGTACGTCTTATACGGCCTGACAGGCTTTAATCTCGGCATCTCTAATTCAGCAACGGCCTCTGCCATGGTACCATATAATCCGTCGCATTTATCAACTAGGGACTTCAGATGCCTCTCATTTATTCTCTTTTGACTTGACTTATCCTCTTCCTCGAAGCCAAACTCGACATCGTCAAAATCTATACCTCTAACCGAAAATAATTAGTAGGATTCGTGGGCTCAGTACAATCCCAACTTACAAGACAATAAGCTCAATACCGCAGTCCTTGATCTTTTCTGATATGTCGTCAAAATCATCAGGGTCAAAAGGGCCCTCGCCATCTGTGACAAGGATGATTTTCCGCTTATATTTTAGCTTCTTGGTGAACTTCTCGATCATCTCCACGGCCACTATTATAGCCGAGATAGAGTCGCCAGTATCGGTATCACTAGGTTTTATAAGACCTTGCAAATCGCGAAGACTAGTCAAGTTCATGGGTCCGAGCTCCTGTAGGATGGAAATATTCTCATAACCATCTCCTGCTTGTTCCTGTAAAGGGTTGTTGGTCTCGTCGGTTCTTACACCAATGACCCCGACCGTCCATGTCTTCCGCGATGCAGCAACAGTTGTCGTGATCTTGTCCCAAACGTAACGCATACCCCAATCAAGGTCGGATTCGATCCTACCATTATGACAATCGCCCATCGACGACCCGAGGTCGATGATATACACTGTAGCCTCCTTGTCCGCCATTGTCGCGGTGATATTGTGGATTATTAGTTGAAACGAGATGAGAAAGGAAGATGAATAGAAGTTAATTATTAGGCCATTGACCTTGGTATTAGAAATGACTCAGTTCCCCGCACGACATCTGCCTAGGTCTACGGGTAAGATGAACTTTATTCCATAGGTCTACTGAACTTTTACACAGGTTAGGTCATGTCAGGTCTCTCACACAAGCTGCCCCTGCACAGGTTAGGTGAGGTTAGGTGGGGAGTGGGGCATAGGTCGGGTCACTCAGTTCCCCCTAGGTTAGGTACCTTAGGTACGGGTACCTTGTTGAGCTAAGGTGGTAGAGTGGGCTGGCTGGGCACCTATAAATTTAGGTACGTGTATGTACTATGTAAGGCGCGTTCCTGTCCCCACAGGCAGTCGCGCGAGCACCTGACCACTTGCCCATGCGCCTAATGGCCCTGGACCAATCAATCAACCAATGGCCCAAGCTCCTCGGCCGATGAACTCCGAATGGCACGATTGAGGCTACGAGGGGCCAGGACAACATACCACCACCTTCAAACGTCATCATTGTCCATTGGTTATATTTACCTTGATAAAATCGTTAAAAATCACTTTTTACAGTTTACAAAGTCTCAGACGTCTCTTCTTCAGTTTTGACATATCTCAATATCTCGTACCAATAACTATTGAATATAAATAAGTTAAGCCCCAACATGTCGCACATCCTCCTTACCTTAGCTCCCTACCATGTCTTATCGTGAGTTCATAACTCTATGATAGTAGAATCGACGAGCTATGTTAACTCTCAAACAGCTACGGCACATTACTTGGAACGCAGGTTTTCCATGTAAGTAGTTCGACGCTTCAATTCTGTCGATAAACGGAACTTGTTGGTTAATAACGAAAACCCCCCAGACCTTTATAAACTCAATACTCTCCTTCAAAGTTCTCGAGCGACCCCAATTCGCAATCCTACAACGTGCCGTCTTCCCTGCATACTTCGGCATCCAGACTGCCGCCCCCGTGCTTCTCGCCCTAACATATCCTGGGAGTAAGAACCCCCTAGGCGTTGCCTCGAGCCTCGCTGGCGTGTTCCACCCGTCAAACCGCTGGGGTGTACTCGCGCCGCTTGGCACAATACTCGTAACAGGGCTTGTTAATTTGGTATATCTACTTCCCGAGACGAACAAGATAACCGCCTTGAGGCGAGAGCAAGGTAAGCTAGAGAGAGACCAGGAATAATTGAGCAGTTTTCGACTAATACGGCTCCGTGACTTAGAAAAGAAGGATGGCAAAGCAAGTTACGAGAAGGGTTCTCATTCAGAGGAGATGACTGCGCTGAACAAGAAGTTCGGACAGCTCCACGGCATCTCTTCGCTTGCTAATCTCATCACGGTAATTGCGACAGTCGTATACGGCATTAACCTATCTTCCCGACTCGTATAAACGGGGCCAATGAATGAACGAATCCTTTTTAATGAATTATGTGTATATGAAATATGAAAAGGGGATGAGACATACTTAACGCTGCCAATAAATACGATACGAGGTACATACGATACGATATTAGGGAACCAGACTGTTATTTTATTATACTATAAATATCCAACTACCGAACAAGTTCCAGCCCCTTCCGTAAATAAAAAAAGCACGAGCTCCAAATTGCTAGGAATCCCAGTACAATTTGCTCTCAATTTCCGCTGTCCCAACAGTACGCCGGTTTAAAACATGCCGAAACAGTAAGCGTATCCAATACGCACCGATCCCTGGGTATAATGCATACAAAGGGAAGCTCGCCCAATGCGATGTCGGTTTGCCATAGTATTCCCCCTCCTTCCCCCCCCCCCTTTTATCCACTCTGCCACTCTAGACGATATCCCACGTAGAAAATTACAAAGCTTCTAGACTGGTACCCGTAATTAGACCTGGCCGGCCAGGGCGAGTATCTCCTTCTTGGCGGCAGCGAGCTTCTGCCGTCTTGTCTCCTCGTCGTCTACGGGCATCTGCGCGGTCTTCGAGGCCGCGCGCTGGAGGGAGCTGTGTAGCGATCGCGGCAGCGGCTTCTTGGCCAGCTGTTGCGCGACGTCGAGCTCCTCGGTCGGAGGGCTGTATTCCCGCTCTAATGGCGGGATGGGATATTCGGAACCGATCATGCGATTTGCTTTGGTGACGGGCGTGGGAACGTCGTCTTCCGCCTCCGAGATAGATGATGTGGGCGACGGCGTTCGCTCGGGAAAGTAGCTGTCAGCGGCCTCGGATGGCTGCTTGGATACCCTCCATCCCTTCGCGGGAGACTGCGCTGAGTCGTCGAAGAATGAGACGCGGTTTCGCATCATGTGCATAAGTGCTTCCCAAGTGCCGGACATGGTGACAATGTAGATAGATATCTTAGGTAGGTTGATAGTTCTGTACAAAGTAGAAAGGGGGTAGAGACAACAGTCGGACGCTTTAATAATTGAGACTATTTGTTATGTAGTAATGAGTGGGAGTAAGTGGTAGTCGGATATGTTATATAGTCTTTCTAGAAAACGTCTTCCTCCCGCTGTAGTGGGTAGAGGGTTCTTATTTAAGCCTCGGAATACGGAGATAATTGAGGAGACGAAGGGAGAGAGAGTAAGATTTCGAGGAGGGCACGAGACATATGTATACGTCTCGTTTGAATGAGTGAGTAACTACGGAATACGTGTAAGCGAAAAGAGAGAATATTGACTCTTCATCTAACTATCTAACTAATGGAACCCCCACTCTCTTCCAGACTCGGGAGATGGATCTACTACACTAGCATGTTATGCTGCATGCTGCATGCAATCTTTGGGTCGAACAGCATTTCTCACCGAGTTTTACCAACAGATGCAAGCAAGGGTATCGTCAGCGTTGAATTATTATGTTAGATTATCATATTAGTTTACTGACTAGCTGCAATCAGGGTCAGTCAGGGTCCTCGGCCCCACTTTCCTAAGCATGTTACGGTGCATTAGGTACTATCGTGAAAGTAGTTCAGTAGTACATAGTGGATGGTTAGGTGGAGGTGTGAATGGGGTGGCAGGGTGGCAGTCAGCGGTGGAACCCTCGGGGTTGGATCGCTCTGATCTCTCTCACCATTTCATACATACAGCATATGTACTAGCATACCAGATGCAAGTCGACGTTGGTCTGACGATCTCTTACCTTAGCAGGGAAGAATGATATGTAGTATTTTACCAAAGGCATTGTCGTATATGTATATGGACACGTGATCAACCTATTCGGTAGATGGTAGACGGTAGCCACCAATTTGACGAAGGACTACCACGGCAGCACGGGGTCCATATAAGCGAAGCAGCTATCCATGGATGTATGTATTAGCAATTATCAGTACGGAATATTATTTAATTCGGTCGTCGGCTGCTTAAAGCCGAGTTGCCTATGTCTACGAATTACAAAGCCGTGAAGCATTTCTGCTTGGCCACATTACTACTTGAATGTATGTAACCTTTTCGTGGGGGGATATTCGAATAAAATAGGCCGATCTGGGGGAACCTAGACGGGATCATCCTCTCACTTTCTAGAATGGAAGACTTAGGGGATGACATAGCAGGTGACATAGACGCATAGACGTAACTTTGTTCGTTGTCAGTTATACCTAAAGAGGTACCTAGGTATGCGAGGAAGCGCCTCCATATGCTGTCCGCTCATCACCATCCGTATTGAGTCTTATCGGGCGTCCGACAATTGTGGACCTGAAGGATCGTGGCCTGCGTAGCAAACCTGGTCTCTTCCGGCATCACACATGAGAGGCGCATGCCATCATCTGCAAAGTATTTGAAGAGGAAATTGTTGGCCGTCTACTTCGTACGGGTTATTTTGTTGAATAAAACAATCGGTACTCTGTAAAATAGTCTATTTAAGACCAACTACCTACTCCCATGCATCAGGACCCCCGCATCTTACGAGGACATCTTACGAGGACAAATAGATTATCGTGATGAAGCTTCAATCTTCTAAATGAGGTTGTATATCAGCGTCATACTGCAGTAGACCGCAAACTTATGCAGTCGTGGGACCATCCTTGTATGCACATATGAGCGCATCCAGCCTACGCCATCTGCCAGTGATTACATATTGGAGCACCTTTTACTTTTGCTTTGCCTTCAGTCGCTTTGCTAACTCGCTTGTCCGAATAACTTTCGGCGTCGGAGTTTTGTACGGAGTGAAGCTGGGTATGTGAGCCCCGACTTGTCGTTGGTAAAATTTGTACTCTGCGTACTTTCCGGAGCTGATCAATTCCGTAAGCCAGGTCGACCCCTGAAATATCATGATTAGAAACAGAGGGCCTAGACCTGCCCAGCTGTAGAGGGTCTTGCTTGCGTAACAGCTCCATTGGTATAAAATGAACCAGATAGTCTGCTCGGCTGCAAAGTTAGGATGCCTGCAGTAAGCCCATAACCCGGAAGTGATGAAACCTCGATCAAGGTCTTCTTGGGTAAAACCGCAGCCCCGTGGCACCTTGGCTGTCTGTTGGTATTCCTTTTTGGCTAGCTGGTAGTCTTAAATATCCCTTTGTTAGTAGAGGTATACAGAGCAGGAAGAACACCACATACCCCATTGTTGCTGGTCGCTAAACCATTCGGAGAGTATGAGTCCGAGCTGGACTGCCGTGAAAGCTATATCTGCCGCTGTGACCTCTCGTTCAAAGTTTGACGATAGGAGGATAATGTATGTCGGCGCTGCGAGGAAGAAGAGCAATATGCTCTGAATGAAGGAGATGAAAGTGATATTTAATAAGAAAAACAGCACCGGGTGTACTTTGCTCCGAATTATTTCCCTATAGATTAAATTAGACAACTGGACGGAGGCCAATATAGTAGAATGACACACCATCTATAGTCCTCCGAACCAACATTATAACCACCTTTCCGGAAGTAATTGTACGTCAACCGAGCCTTATAGATATTAGCTACGCAGTCGAGAATCGAGATTTCCTTATGTGTTCACACACGCTCCACGTTGCACTCCATAATAACACAAGGTCAAGCCTTTGGCTTGGAAGGCCATTCAGATGAGACCAAACAGCAAAATGTGCATTGTATATTGTTGGCAATAGACTCCACATGCGATCAACCTGGGAGTAATTACGATTGATTTCGGATACGATTAAAAAGACGGCACCGAGGAATATAGAAAAACCAAGCCCCGATATGAACGGGTTGGTATTTTTGTATAATTCGACGAAGGATCCGTGACTCGACGCGGCATGGACTATCTTTCCAGGGAGTTCGTAGAGTTGTGGTAGGTATGGCTCAACTACTTGAGAGTAGTCGGCGCAATCTTCGAGCCTTTTTACCCAAGGCAAAGCCATTTTTCAATTCGAGACGTATTCGGACGTTTCGGGGGGGTAGGGGGTTAGGAGAGATGGCGATGAAGTATTATATTGACTATTGCCTATTGCTTATTGTACTTCCAATTGTTGGACCACGTCACGACTTTGCTTAAGAAAGTCGACATTCAGCTAAAGCTCCAAAGTAATGGCACGAGCCACTTTGTGCCACTTTGGGCCACTTTAACTGTTTATTGGAACCGTAGCAGGGGTAAAGCGACTAGGGCTACTGGGGTAACCTTAAAGCCTTACCTAAACACCAATCAGATAGTTTAAATTAGTTCAAGGTATTGGCTGAGAAGTATCGACCCCGTTGCCATGGAAAATAAAAAACTGCAAAAATAAAAGTCGGGAAGGCACACGATAAATGTATTAATACACACAATAAAGTACACAATAAACTGATCCACACAGTTTTCGATGCTTAACCTAACCTGAACAACTCTTTAGAACCCATTTTCAAAATGGATTAGACATGGATGTGATCTATTTAATCATTTGCCGTTCCTGACTTCAAGGAACAAACGTTACCCATGAGACGCTTGCTTAGCTCTTCGTGTCGTGTAGAAAGGGCACGTCGAGTATCTGTATTATTAACATTTTACTCCGCCACGTTTCCTACGCGACTCCAGTCAACCATGAGAGTCCTCTGCGTCGCCGAGAAACCTTCCATCGCGAAAGCTGTTGCAGGTCATCTCTCAGGTGGTCAGGTTCAAAGCGTTAGTCTCAGATGATATCTTGGATGATATAGTCGGTCTGCACAATCTTGGCCTGCTAACACATGTCTAGCACAACACGCCCGAAAAGTACATCAAGAACTATGTTTTTGACTACGACTTCGGACACCCCTGGGGTCGTTGCCATGTTACCATGACCTCTGTCCTTGGTCATCTCACCTCGGCTGTATTTCCTGCCGAATATAAAAGATGGGAAAACCCGCCGCCCGAGCGCTTGTTTGATGCGCCTGTGAACATAATCATTTCCGAGGTACGCGTTATGGCTGCTTAGGTTGTATGCCGAGTAGAGTTTAACATATCCCACAGGATAAAACCAAGGTGGCGGACAATATCGAGAAGCAAGCACGCTACGCCAATGCCCTATGCATCTGGACGGATTGTGATCGTGAAGGCGAGCACATAGGCTATGAAATATGCGAGGCCGCTAGAAAAGGCAACAGGACTCTGGATATTAAGAGGGCCAAGTTCAGTAACATCGAGAGAGCGTCTGTCTATCGATTCGTTAAACCCTAGCTGAATGTCTAGCTAAAGAGGAAATCTAGGCATATCTTGAACGCAGCCCGAAACCTTATACATCTCGATCACAAACAAGTCAATGCCGTGTCTTCTCGAATCGAATTAGATCTTAGGATAGGATACGCCTTTACTCGGTTTCTAACCACAAATCTAAGGACTTTAGGAGGGCCCTTTAAAGAACTTGTAATAAGCTATGGTTTGTAAAGCATTCTAAGATTTATCGGATAATCTAGTTCTAACGTTTTAGGGTCCTGCCAATTCCCAACATTGGGATTTGTAGTAGACCGGTACTTCAGAGTGAGGAATTTCAAGCCAGAACCATTCTGGAGTATCAAAGTCGTGCACAAGCGGGAAGGTATGGATGTCAATTTCGGTTGGTCGCGCAATCGTCTCTTTGATAGAGCATCGACTATCGTTCTCTACGAAAGATGTCTTGCGGCAAAAACGGCCAAAGTGACCAAGGTCCAGGAGAAGCCAACGAAGAAATGGAAACCTCTGCCGCTGACCACAGTAGAACTGCAGAAGATGGCCACTAGGTTTTTGCATATGACGGGTCAGCAGGCGATGGAAGCTGCAGAAGCCCTTTACAACAAGGGGTTTATCAGTTATCCCAGAACGGAAACCGACCGTTTCGATTCTGGTATGAATTTACTCGCATTGGTACAGAAGCAAACGCCATCTAATTCATGGGGCGAATTCGCACAGAATCTAGTCAATGGTGGATTTCAGCAACCGCGGCAGGGACGAAATGATGATAAAGCGCACCCCCCGATACACCCCATCACTTACGCGGCACCCACAGTCCTCGGCGATAGAGAAAAGAGGGTTTACGAATTTGTCGTTAGACGATTCTTAGCATGCTGCTCGGAGGACGCTAAAGGTGCTGCTACAGACGTCGACATTTTATACGGCGAGGAATCTTTCCACGCTCACGGCGTCGTTGTCCTAGAGCAAAATTATCTAGACGTCTACGTGTATGATAAGTGGACCGGGACTGGACAGCTGCCCAAATTTACAGTTGGAGAGCTTTTTGAGCCTACTGAAGCTCTCATGACGGAGGGCAAGACTGCGCCCCCTAATTATCTTACTGAAGCTGATCTGATTGCTCTCATGGATGCCAACGGGATCGGGACAGACGCTACGATGGCGGAGCATATTCAGAAGATTCAAGATAGAGAGTATGTTCGTGCTGTATCCCGGAGCACACGAGCAGCAGACGGCGAGGGTGAAGACGAAGATGCCCCAGCTGCACGGGGAGGGCGAGGTAGTCGCGGCGGTCGCGGCGGTCGAGGTCGAGGTGGGGGATCTACGGCTAGTGGGAGGGGAGGTGTGAAAGAATTCATCCCGACTAAATTGGGTGTGGCTCTGATTGAAGGGTTCGATAGAATGGATTTCGATACCAGCCTTGGCAAACCATTTTTACGAAAGGAAATGGAGTTGAAGATGAAAGCCATCTGCGAAGGCCGTACAACAAAAGAGGCCGTTCTAAACGAGAGCATTCAGCAATACCGCCAGGTCTACTTACAATCACAGGAGAAATTAAACATCCTCAAAGCGGTAAGTCTATATCTTAGTCTCGTATAGGTGTGAGCAAGAACTAATCAAAAGTCATACAGGCATGTCGGCAGTATGTCCTCCAACAAAATGGCGGCTGAAAGAGATTGTTGGCTCGGTTGTGCCAATAGGTTGCCAATAGGTATGATTAAGGTGCCATTGGAACCCGCGAAGGAATCGCAAAGAATGTGGAAGCTCGCTCGAGTCCTACCCGCTCAATAGTAACACATACGCATACAGCACAAGATTCTCGCGGACCGAATCCTTACTAGAGAAGATGGTGGTTGATGGAAGCAACATACTGTATAACCGCGGCCTACTCCGAATATCGGCCCTGCAATTACTCAGAAGATGACGCTCAGCCTGATGAAGTGCTTCCGGCAAAATGGGCTCTGGCGATGGGCTGAACTTTGTTGAGGCAAATGTGCGCGCAAAGTATTCATTCTCGAATTGGATGAAACGTAAATGCAGGACCCAACGACCCGATTCCTCGACTTGCACCCATTTGGTCCACCTACATAGGCCGTGGGGTATCGTGAAACTAGGTGCATACCTTGGTCCTTAGGTATAGAGCAAGACATACCTACATACATGTATGTATGTAGATGTGACACCTGCTCATCTCCACCGACCTAAGCACCGACCTAAAAACATGTCGTCGGATCGCGTTATCCCAGAACGTGGGGGAATCATACTGGATGATGGGCTATTCTCGCGAAACTCTCTAGTGTCTAGTGGGGTAGTCGAACTCTACAAAGTCGAGATGCAGATGGAAAACGCAAACCCCTCTTCGGATACGACCATTCACGATCGTGTACGACCTCACTATACCCTCTCCATGTCCTAGCCTAGCACATTCGTCGGCTACCGGGTAACCGTACTTAGACCTACACTAGCAAGCTTAGGTTGCTGGCTAACTGGTTAGTAACCGACTTACGTCTGGGCATGGTGATATATGCGCGGCCGTTTCAGCGACGAGTCGTTATTAATAGCGAAGCTACTATGTTCTAGTATTTATAACTCCGGAGGCAAGTCATTAAAACGCCTGTAGCCCCCGTTATTCCGGTGCGTCCTTTCGTCACCGGTTGGCACTACGGCTAGCTAAAGGTTGGTGAAATGGGGGCAAGTTCGCGCATCACGATGGTTGTTTTGGACCAATCACGGCACCGCACTTGTGCAACGTGAGGCATTCCTGGGTCTATGGCCATCGAAATTCGGGGATCATATGTTAACGAATTCGACCTACTTAATTACGCAGTCTCGAACTCAATTGATTTTCCAAGATGTGTGTGCCCTTGCTAGGTAATCGGCAAGTTAGCTAGCGAGGAACCAGATAAATTAGTACACTAATAATAAATATGTAGGTACACAGAACGACCAGCGTAGCCGATGGACAGGCGAGGTTGAGGCTGCACATGCCAACATTTGGTGTATTGTCTCTCAATTCAAATGACGGGGATGAGATCCGCAACCTACCTTCTTATCCTACCAAAGCCGGATTCATTTCCATTGGACCGCAAAGCGTGTGACGAGAAGTGTCCCCGATACACCTATACTCCTACTGCCGGAGATTTCCTGCACGTTGATAACGAGGATTTCTGTTCTCGGCTTGGCTACAGGGCTTTCTCCAGACGTGGAACCCAATGGCTTCTTGGATAGAGATAGCGGCATCCCATCCCTTGATATGCGAGATAGCCGGGGTGGAGGGGGGGGGGAGTCAAATACATAGATGGCTTTGATCCTCTCGGCTCAATGGCGGGTTTTTTAGTATCAAAGCCGTCCCCAGAGCGGGCATACACCTCCACGAGTGTTTTTCGCGGGACACCCCAGATATTCATCATATATGAGAGAATATAGAAGGGGATGCGGATTATCCAAGAAATTCCATTTGTATCTTCCTCGTCTTATTACTGTACCTACATATTTTTGCCTGTCACGGGTATCTGGTATATTATAGTGCTTACGTATTGCGCGTACATGGGACAGGTAAGCAGGCTCAAGCCGTCAAGGCAGCCCGAAAGCAAATAAATATATGTGACCCACGTCATAATTGATTAGGTAGTATAATTATTAGTTGGAATGCACCAAAGGATCCATTTGCGGCATATTCATAGATACCTAGGTACCTAAAGAATAGACTACAAAGAATGCTTTCTGTATACTCAATGACAACTACCTTGAGTTAAGTGCCTAAGTGCCATGTCAAAGAGTACTATGTAGTAGGCCTCATCATATTTAGCGCAACCCTTAGCTGTGCCCTGTTAGTCAACATTTGGATGATAAGACCACATAAGACCACACATACACGATACTCGCCACGGTACGACGTTGACCACACTCAGGCTGTTACGTTAGATATTACTACGTAGTCCAGAGGAAAGGTTTAAAACTGTCGTGCTATGATGGCTATAGTATGTACTGCCGTTGCTGCGGTTGTACATAAGACTCCTTTGTCTGGAATTTAGGACTTGAGAGGCTGGTTACGGCAAATGTACCTTATAAGTTCCTGTTTTCAAAGTGTCAAAATTACATTAGTGGATTAAATACCTTAAATAAAAGTGTAAGTAGAAACAATATGTAGGTATACCTATGTACTGTTTCGGGGGGCTTGGCTTGGGAATCAGGAGGGAAAGGTGAATGTTTTTGTTGCTGTCAGGTATAAAGTACGTACATACCGTCGTAGCGTAAATTATGTACATCATAAATACAGACATAACTTTCATTAAATACACTACCCCTTTTTGCTAGGACCACATCTTGGCTACTACTTTTGAGCAATCAGCTGCGTGCATTACGCCCTGTGCGCCATGCGACACCTGCTGACCCTGCTGGACAACACCCCCCTGCGGTATACACACCAGTTAGAACCTTCTGCTGTTTCCCGTTCATTGTGTGAGCTGGTGAGCAATTGGGGATTACATTAGTAGGTCGCAGCCGTCACTCGCTCTTTACGTTGATCTTTCCTTTCGTTAAGGAAACATCAACAACACAACAAATTGACATCACCGCATCATTTTGCACCCCCAAGAGTCATCTTTTGTCGCAGTCAAGAGAATCGCGTCAGCGCTGCCATTTCGCCTAAATTGAATTTTGATTTTTTTTGTTTTCTCTCCACCAGACAGAAAACAAAGAAACAATTCTATCGCCATACCGCAACTCTTTACTTCGGGCTTGTTCTTGTAAGTGACTCACCGCAGCCTACCTACCCAGCCTACCCAGCCTACCCAGCCTACCGTCATCATTGAGCATCTTCCCTCCCATTCTTCCAAGGCTCATACAGCCTAAACAAATATTCTATCTATATTCTATGTATAACACAATCTAATCCTGTGTCGCTTTCCATTATAGATACAACTCGAAGTATTTAATTACCAAAAATGGCAACTATGGCATCGGCTTCTGCTGCTCGCGATATCCCTAAGACCTCCCCTCTCAGCCGAGACAACTTAACTGCTGTAGCGGCTGCTCGGAGCGTCCCTGTGACACGAACTCATTCCCTTCCGACTCCTCCCAACTCCATATCACCTACGCTGCCGCCTCATGGCCTAAAGGCACAGCTACACAAGGCCAAGCTCGATTGTATCGACTCGGACCTCGACCTTCACGAAGGCGTCGACCATAGCCCTATCGGTTCACCATCCTTCGAATCCACAGGGACTATTACCCCGGCCCTGCTAGCCAAGTATCATCTTCCCGAGATTCTGTTGAACCACGGCCCTTTGGCCATTCGCTATATCATGGGCTATTTGACCACCTCGGTTCCCGGCTTCGCAGGAATCCCCCCGCCGAAGGCACGAAGGCTAGTTGTGGCAGCACTGGAAGGACGTGGACAAGGACACGGCGTCGAAGGTGGTGGAGTCGATGGTGACGTGGAATTTCAAAAGGTTGGGTGGGGTCGGTGGGATGCTAGGCGACGGGGTCAAGCTGCTCGAGATGCGGTGTCTCGACAAACCCTTGGCCAAGGCGACTCTAGAATCCCTCCTACCAGTATACCAATCTCAAAAGGTGCTGGATGGAATGCTGACCGATCCCGCTTGAACGTACGAGCAGTTAGTAACGGGAACTCGGCAGCCTTTTCTCATGACGACCGGGATGTGACCATGACGGAGAACGAAGCCGATAAAATGTCCCTCGACTCTCTAGACGGCCCCGCTTCAGCTTCCTGCTCTTTGGCACCCGACGATGAAGACATGATCATGAATGACGATCCGGAGGACGCCACAGACGACGAAGATTGGGCGGCTGTAGGAGCTGCTGCACTACGGGCCGCATCGTATTCGAATCCGGCTGAGGCCCGCCAAGGTGCAAACTATCCTTCCCATGTATATAACTCTCATGGTTTCCGATCCTTCTCTGGCAACACGGGCATGCTTCGGGAGCCACGTCTCGATAATATCGACTTGGATGCACTAGCAGCTTCGTCGGATGCGCAGGAGCGCGAAGCAATCCAGGCGCTTTTACAACTCGGTTCTGTATAATAATCCAGCATGGGCGGCGTTTTAGGGGACATCTCGGCTCGGGTGGACCTAGTTTGTTTTATTGACCGGGCTGACCAGACTGGTTAGCGTTGTGTCAGTTCTTCATCATGGTGGATATACACCTTGATCATCATTATTTTATTATCCGGCATATTTCTGACGTCCGGCGTCTCTGGTTTCTGAGGACAATCAGGGAGCACCCCATCATTTCCACTCTAAGGATGTTACGGTTTTGGAACATTGTCCTTGTCGGCGGCATATTGCATGGATAATCTCAACCCTGGGGTTCGCATCTCCGCGGTTGCGAGCGGTTCGGAGTTTTGCTTTCGTCTTCCTTTTTTTTGGTTGCTACGCGATTCACGAATCTTGCGGCAAATTTGCCTGATATATGTTATCGGATCTTGCCGGCATCGGCCTGGAGGAATATGGCTGCCTTGAGCCAGTGGTTAGCCCTCGTGCGCTCGGTGTCAGATGCCTTCGACAGTATCTTCGTTTTGAAACTTATACCCCATTGCGACGTAAATATTCGATTTTAATCACCTTATTTTCCGCTGGCAGAAAATACCCCTGCTTCAACAGCACCCGCGAAGGAGCAGAATACGACTCGTTTCATGGTTGGCGGGCAGAAATAACAACTACACTTGCTTCATATACTTGCAAGGGCTTGAATTAAAATATTTTAATTGACGGGTACTCCCGTACGCGAAAAAGATGGCAGGAGAGGGATAGGGATAGGGGTGTTGATATTGTTTACCTGGATAGACGGGCGTAGCCAAATTGGCAGCAAATTGGTCGTGTGAGGAATAGAGCCGAGTTGAACATTTACAAAAGTGGTTCATCGCGCAACATATTATATTATCGACAAACGAACAACGATAGTCTTATGTCAAAAAGATGCGGAGACGCACTCGGCAGCGCAAAGAGAAGGAAAAAGACAAGTGCCGCCTTTTTGGAGGATAGTTGGATCAGCAGCCTTCTAGCTCTACGTTTATCGCCACTCAAAAATGAATGAGAGCACCAATCGTCCAACCTATATTTGCGTCTTGTGTCTGCTAGTCGTAAGAGTTGATAATGTCTCGATACGTAGTGTCCAGTTGTGAGGTTATCGTAACTGTAGTAGTTTTGATGTTTACAGGGCTGATAATCAAAATACAGTCCTGCGGAGAGATCCTCGAATATGGGTGGAAGTATGGTAACAAGAAGAATTTCTCATTTGGGTAAGCTTTTGATAAATACATTTAGACTCGATGACGTAGATGGTCTTGATTGTTGATCTCGATGTCCTTGACGGGTGGATACATATGTTCTACGCGGAAACTAGCGACGGCATGGGAAACGATTTTCATTACATGGTACACTAGTAATATATACATCATCTTAACGTGGAAATTTACTGTCAAGTGTTTACTGCTAATGGATATAATCAGATGGGCTAGTTTGAATATAAAGACAATCGGCGAAAGAGCCTCCAGTTTTGTTTACTTTAGTTGGTTGTAAAAAAAAAAATCATTTTTTGCTTTAATCAAGTATCTTACTATTAATATGACCTTTCAACTCTCCTGTCTCCTGTATATAGATACCTACGCAAATAAAGATGGCTTAATCAAGTCAAGTAAGGCTTAGTTGATATTATGACACAATGAACACAATATATAAAACCTACCCAAGTCGTGTCATGATTTGCTAAGACTCTTTACCGAGAAATGCTTGGCGTATAGTTCTGGCCCAATTTGGTTTCATTGCATATATCTTGCCAAGTTATGACTTTATATTATTGACGTCTTACGTAGACTAGGCTATGAAACTAGTCTGTCGTCCTCTTGCAAACTTCCTGGAGATCTGCGGAAGATATAATGCGACCAGGTTCAAGTCTAAACAGAGCTGGGATATATCCTCGTAGGAGAGAACTTAATCTCCTTGACGCTTACCGTTTGTGGGCTAAGTTAATACAAGGTAGAGAGTAACTAATAAGTCAGTAAAGTGCTAGCAAATTGCTGATGGCAGATGACAATTCAGCTAACACCATCTCACCTGCAAGAGGCGCTCCGGTCGCAATATCTGGAAGACGCATGCCATATAAGGGATTTCACCGGCGTAAAGTACAGCTGAGTCAGATCTGATGGCCGAGTGAAACCAAATGAAGAAGACATTAAGATACAATTAGTAAAAACTAATCGAAGTGCCAATGAAAAGGCGATGATAATTGATACTGCTATATCAAGTCTTCACCGAATTTCTTGGGTCTCTTGGGTGCGGCATTATACTGCTCCAATACCAAACGCAGTAAGAGACAAGCTCAGCTTCCGCTTCTTGTCTTCGCCGAGCTAGTTAATTGCCCTTGGACGTTCGGGACAAGGCTGTGCCACAGAAGTCGTAAGCTTCTTGAACTCCCTAAAGGGATCAGCCTAGGTTGTCCAATATTTAAGCAAGCGTTCAAGCAAGTCGAACGTAGGCTATATATACTTCTCAAGATGTAGACGAAGTAGGTAGTTGGCATGTCGTTTGTCCGTACTCCGTACTCTCGTTGCCGATACGAGTAAAAGATAGTTAATAACAAGCGCATGGCCAAGAACTTGGCGGGCGGAGAGGAAGACCAAGGCTTGGCCACCGGCGGAGCGTAAACTACCCCTTTAGAGTAAACACCATGTCCAGAATACCAAGAGATACCAAGACTTTCTGTCCGCCGTCATAGCCGTCAACAATGACAATGTTATCAAGAGGTGGTTTACAATGCCGGAGGAACGGAAGTGGAAAATCGGCAAGATGGTGTAAAGCACGTTGTATCGCACGCGATGCAAACCTCTAGGCTATTATAGAGATGTAGAAACGAATGGACGGCTTTTTAAAAGTGAAGAGAGCAAGAGGATTAAAGGGGAAAGGGGCAAGACAAGTATACTTTATAAGTGGTAGTTATGTATATGTGGTATTCTAAAAGCCAAAAGGCAACGGAATTGGCAATGGAATACGACAGACATGCTTTCTAAGACGATTCAAGCAACTTATTAGCTACTTATTAGATAAGAAAGTCATCGTATGTAGTACTTTGGTACGTAATAAGGTAATGATCAGTGATGATAGCTTCTAACCCAAGTATGTGGAAGAAATACATGTACTTAAGAAATACTTAAGAAATAGAATACATATTATGCAAAGGGGTACGGAATAACAGTAGCCAAAGTTACTAGGGAAATGGAAGGAAGTAGGCGCAGTCGAGTCTCGGCGCAGGAGGAACCGGCGGCCAAGGGTTTTCCAAGCTTTTTCCCAAGCATCCACAAGCATTTTTGGTGCATTTCTGGGCAGATATGTCGAGACAATCATCAAATGCCAAGATGCGCCAAGAGCTTGGCATTATCTTGGCACGGAAGTCACTACTGAGGAGGGGTGACTCGAATTTAGTAGTCACTACCCACTATAGATCGAGTCACTTTCGGCATAAGGTACCTGACTTGTTTGCCCCCATTTCCCTTAAACCAATCACTAACGGTCACCCGCTACACCCAAGACCCATTGCCAAGACTTTCCGCCTCGATATCGCCAAGGTCAAACGTCCATAATAAGGAGCAAGCACGACGCTCGATTTACATAAACTCGGCCTTCCTCTCCCCCCAGACAATACTGGCTTTTCTTCCTTTTTGCTCCTTTGGGAATCGAATCTTAGTATTATTGTTTGTTGCTTGGATTCGAAAAAAAAGAAGGCATTGAATGTTCAGTGCTCTCTCTATTCAGTACATATTATTCCACTATCGAAATAATCCTTTCCCGATTTAGACATTACCGCATCCGTTAGTCACATCACATGCTGGTGAGCTTGGACTGCCAAGACCAACACCAACACCAACACCGTACTTAGGTACAGCCAAAGCCCAGAAAGAAACAAGAAAAAAAGAAAATTTACCATAGTTGTTCCGAAACTTCCGAAATTCTTCCGCTCCATCACGTGTATCTCTATCATCACGTGAAAGACATCTACCCCTTATTTAAATTGCATTTGAAAGATTCCATTGAGGTCAAAGCCATGTCGGCAGCACCCGAGAGCAACCCGATCCAATCGGGCGGTGAGAGCTCGGCCTCCAACGGCACCACCCCAGCACCATCAACGGCTACAACCGCAACTTCGCAGTCTAGCGCCCCGGCCCAGGATGACTCCCTTCAATGCCGCTGGACTGGTTGCAGCGAGAAGTTTGGCTCGGCCGAAACTCTCTACGTAAGTTTTATTATTATATTATTATATAACTGGAATTATTTTCTTGTAGACTTAACTAACAGCAATCTAGGAGCACATTTGCGAGAAGCATGTTGGTCGCAAATCCACAAACAATCTTAACTTGACTTGCCAGTGGAATCAGTGCAAGACTACCACTGTCAAGCGAGATCATATCACATCACATATCCGAGTCCATGTTCCCTTGAAGCCACACAAATGTGACTTTTGTGGCAAGTCATTCAAGCGTCCTCAAGATTTGAAGAAACATGTCAAGGTATGTAATATGTTTTTCTACTCAGTTACAGATATTACTTCTTCTTCAGCTACTAACTCCGATTGTAGACACATGCGGATGACTCTGTCCTTGCCCGCTCGCCGGACCAGCATGGCCCAATGAACGGAGGTTATCGGGCTCCAGGAAAAGGTATGAAATCCCCCTTCAGTTCGAACCCCCCCCCTCCTAATTCCTCATTTGGAGGCTAATTTGCCTCATAGCTCCGTCTAGCTATTACGATCACAATGGTCAAATCCGTACTAACTCGACCGCCTTTGGCCAGCCGCCTCATCCTGCCGGCCACGCAAGTAGTTATTATCAGCACCACCCTCAAACCTCCTTTGGAGGCCCTATGTACTACCAACCCATGGGCGGTCGCGGTGATCACATGGGCTACCAGGCCTCCGCCGCTGAATATGACAATCGCAAACGTACCTACGATGTGCTTAACGAGTTCTTCGGCGATGCCAAGCGTAGGCACCTTGACCCCAACTCGTACGCCCAGGTTGGACAGAGACTCCTGCCCTTGCACGGAGTCCTCCCTATTCACTCCGGCTCCCTCGGAGCAGAGTATCTCCCAAGTCCGGGTGTCATGACCGTTGATGGACCCGCTGGTCATGGTCCGTACCAACAGCACTATTCGTTACCCCCTATGCCCAACGTCCGCACTAAGAGCGACCTTGTCCAGATCGATCAGCTCCTCGAGCAGATGCAGA